TTTTCTATTAAAGCAAATGCACAAAGTTCGTTCCCAAACCTAGATATTTACGGAAGAAAATTCTCACAGGGTCACAATCTGTATGCCTATTTTTGAATAGTTTACGTGGTGATGAGCTCCTTGTTAGCAAAAAAATTACGAATTCATCTTCTGATATTCCTCAATAAAATTCTTCTATTTGTCAGACTTTGTCAGACTAGATAGTTTTGTACTTATCATTAATAGCAAAACATGTCTTATGGAATAATTTTTTACACAATATTTAAATCATAGGTATTTTCAACTGCAATTAGAAGCATGTAAAGGTGAGCGGCCAGCTGCGTGTGCGGGCCACGTGCCACAAGTGCCTATTTGCTGCAGAAGTTGGCACGTATTACCGGCCGCGTCTATTTCCGTCTGTCCCTGTTAAACAAATATTTTTGGCACCCGCTTTCATGCGTACAAGTGGGTGCCGAACGACTTCGTGACGGGAGCGTGTCATTCATCGGCTCGTTATCTCATTGTTTTCCTCGTGTGTCGATTTGTCGCAACATATGCCCACGCGACCAATAGTAGACTAGATGAGCGTAGAACCGCGTGCGCGTACTGCCGTCCGCGCTTCGCCGACAGCATGTCGCCAATCAATCTATCAATCGTGATCGATTGTTCTGATCGATTAACGAGCGCATGCTTTATGTGACATCCTAATTGGCTCTGATTGTTTCCGATTTAAATAATGTGCACTACTGCGCTCATTCATTGAATTAATCAATGAATATGACTAACCTCAATTTTCCAAATTTTTAACATAATTGACAGTTTTGAATAATTCCTCGATTAGCACTTGTTGGCTCAAATACCTCACGTCATCTAATCAAGTCAAAAGTAGAAGTTTCTGTCACATTTTAACGAAAAATAGGTATGAAATCTCTAAACAAAGAAATAAGAGTATAATTTTCGGTGGTGGCATTACAAAAAGAATACTGGCGCATGCTGGCATCAGTCGAACGGCAGCGTGGCTGTTACGTTTCTTTCAAAAGCTGCTCATTATACACGTTATGGTTTCAAAGTGTACTTGGTGGTTTTGAGGCATTCATTGCAACGAGACAAAAGCGCTTCGGTTCATTGATATCAGTTTTAACTTAATTGTCAATGGTTTTACCAGAACAACTATACAACAGCAACTCACTAATGTGTATTGAAAATATCCCACTGCAACCCTTTCAACTCCTCAAACTTACATGTAATATTACCTCTTTGAAGTAATCTTTATCTCCAGGAAGGAAAGCAGTGATGAAACTGACTGTCGGTTGCCCCTTATTGTATTGCAAGTGCGCATTGTTGTGTCATAAAGGACATGGCGAGGGAAACGCGCTCGGTTTGCTCTTCCACTACTATCACACAAAAATGTTATTAGTTTTGGGCGGTTATTGCCCACCCTGCTCCCGAACGGTTCTCCCTAGCCACTCTCGGACAAATACGGTATATTGAAAGATTTCATATTAATCCACATGGTTTAACAGGAATATATACCAAATTATCTATCCATTGGTGTTGACATTATTGTCCCCATTATTTCTACAAAAAAATTAAACAAATATTAATTACATATCACTAAATACAAATAATAGGATAACAATTAATACGTATGTATGCATCGGGCTTGTACGACGAGGCCAGGCCATTCGTCTCAGGCGACGCGGCCATTTGTATTGAAGCGGGCATTCGTCACGCTAATCGCTGCAACGTTATACCTGCACGTAGCTAACTACCCTTATAATCCTACTATATAAATAAATCAGGAATTCCTTTGAACTATGATTATGTTTCAATATCAAAATTATCAGTATAAAGGAATTATAGAATAAGGAATTGAGGTTTAGTTTTAATAAATTACAAAATAAATAAATACCTAATAAAACGTAATATAATTTAGTGATCTTCAGAAATCATTGCCTCTACTAATGTCAATTATATGGAAGTCAAACATTTACAATATTTGATTTCTTTAATGGTAATAAACTACAATGCTACACTAAACGCCTAAAAATAAAGTCGTAAGTAAATATTTGTAACGTATTATTTTTAAATTTATTTTTCTTTAAAATAAAATTATTTAATTTATTAAATTAATTTAAATTAATGTTTAAGTTGTTATTCATTTAATTGTGAAATAACTATAAGACGTTCCAAACTACAAAGTTAATAATAGTCAAATCCATCCCAGCTAATAAATCAAGTTTGATAGACCCGACCAAGTTATCATAGTTATGATAAAACGTGATCACCCATTCAAGTTTCACAAACGGATTGGTAGGAATCGAAACTCAAGCAGACGGCGTAGAGTAACAGGAAATAATAACTTTATCCCAAGCTTAAACTGTGAGATACCCGTCCAACTGACATTATGCCTGCTAGTTACAAGTTGATCTAAATGCATCTGACTGCTTTCACTAGTTAGTTGTAGCATACATAACTAAAGTTCTGTGACCAACACAATTTAATACGTGTCTGCATCTGATATTGCCAGTGGCTAAACATTCAAATATATTGCAATATTTTCTTCCACCATTTCCTTCAACCATTTTAACAAAAACTATTGTCGTGATATTTATCCGATGTACTTTAGAAAAGTTACTCAATAAATCACCCGTTTCGCGGACATTATCAGTAAGCGAGTCCCCCAAGTAGAGTACTGAATATTCAGATGGCGTTTGTTTGTATACGTATTTCTTTGAAACTGCGATAAGCGCTTTTCCGTTTTTTCACTGAATAAAATATTGCTCTGAAGGCTCGGCGTACAACGATAAAACGTCCGCGAGGCTCTTCCCGTCACGTAGTGCGACAGTTAATTACGCGGATGTAAATAAATCATCATAGATGGGTGCGGTGGCTTCGATTCCGAAAGGCAATTATCTCGCGCCTCATTGACGTCGAAAATGAGCAGAGCAAAGCCCACACCGCTCCGACACGCCTCAGAAATATTTGACACGCAAGACGCAGTTATAAGGAAAAATCGAGTGGAGGATTTCTGGTGGCTACGTGCCCGGCTCACCGCAATTGTGATGCATGGAGGGATTTCCGCACATTCGCCCGATATTGAGCCGAAACCGCGGCCGCTACCTCCCCGACACATATTGCTTATCGGAATGATATCGAATGAGGTCCGCCATTTTCGTCCATTCTGAGACTCCAAGTGTCACTTACCTGAGCAACCATACTCTTATCTCTTTCATTTTCCACATAACATAGAAAATGTAGCCTCTTGAAATCCCAAATATTATATATATCTTATAACAATGCCATAACTGAATCTGTTGATAACAAAGAACGACCTCTGTACTGCAATGCCAACGCATACCTATACATACAGGCTCGACCCATATGGGGACCGTTGTTAAGCAATTTTGTAATCTACTGTTTGAAATAAAGATTATTATTCTTATTATTATACCTACTGCTTTATTATATTGACATTCTGAATTCGATTCTTCATAGATCTAATTCCTTTTTGTTTATAATTGATATAGAGAGTTAGCTGCTTTCATACAAAAACTTTCAATATCATTAATTTGATACAAAATAAATACCAAATACATCCTACTCGACGCAGATTATGTATAATGTCATGATCTTACTTCACACAATCGAAACTTTGGGTCGAATTATTGAAACGTTTTTCTAAAATGATTTGCATTTAAGACATACAAGTTTCAAAACAACATATGGGGCTTAAAAAGTTGATATCTGAAAATATCAATGTATCAAAAGTCTATGTCTCAAAACATGTAAATCTCAGAATATTAAAGTCTTAGAACATATCATCTTCCTACCCACGTTCTAATTATATAAATTTAGGGGTCGACGTGATATGTTTTTACCCATATTACCCAAGGTTTTGGCTTTTAGTTTTACGACCAGCCGCCTGACTGACTTCAACCCTTCTTGGGGAATGGATTTGTTGATGGTATCGGCTACCTACGATATGGTACTATCCGTATTAAGAAAAAGGAGAACTTTAGGAGTAAAAGTTTGTATTAAAAGAATGAAATATTTATACAGTAAAGGGGACACGACAGTTGCAGAGGGTATAATACTAGTCAGATACTGCAATGGTTCGAGAGGCCGAGTCATATACCCCATAAGCCCTTACTCTAGAACCAAACAAATTACTAGAGGAGAACACCTCTGGCATATGAACGTACATATTCCTTTAATATATAACTTTTTGTATCAATGAAAGTAAAAATAATCATTAGGAAGCAATTTTCTGGCTATCTCATTGACAAAAATTAACAATGTTCTGTATTGAATGAAGAATAGTGAATAATAAATGTGATAATTATTGGTTTCTCATGTTTCCAAAACGATAGAAACTTAACATAACAAAATATTAATACAAGATAGTAAAAATTATATCATCCAAAAATAATATATAAGATATGTATGAATCTGATATTCTGAGATAGGAACCTTTTAACCCCCATATGTTATATTGAAATTTGTGGCTTTCGAGTGTATACATCTGAAATTGTTTTATGTCAACACTAGGAATACTGTTTTTTAATAATACTATCTGGCATATTTCTTGCAAGACTAGGGGCAGTCACACAGACAGAAATTTATGTATTTTTGATCGCCAAAATAAACTATTTGAAGTCCACCGCATGACATATAAGGGACAAAGTGTCCTTCATCAAAAAAAAATTCGCGCTGTATCTGATCGCCATCCGACATCTGCGTAGGCTTAAAGTTGGTCTTTTTATACTTGCATTTTGATATAAAATTCGAAACACACAGAACCTTTTGAGAAGTTTTATACTATAATGTAGAATATGTAAATGACTCACCACAGGATTAACCAATGAAATTAACTACACAAAGGAATTATTTAAATCTTTACATGATAGGAGCATATTACTGTACTTACCAGACCACGGCCAGACAACACGGAATGCCGTTTTTATCTTCAGTTTAATTTAATAAACCTCCTTTCATTGTGTAATATTTTTCTATTTCAGGGTCGGTGTAATCGAGAGAAACCACCTTGCAAGTATTTTCATCCACCGCAGCATCTCAAGGACCAGCTGCTGATTAACGGCAGAAATCATCTAGCACTCAAGAACGCATTAATGCAGCAAATGGGCCTCACGCCTGGTCAGGTGCTGCCTGGCCAGGTACCCACCGTGGTAAGTAACAGTAAACTTTACGTATACTTACTAAAATGCTTTGAGCGATCGGTCCTCAACACGTAGGTACTCTGTGCACGCAATACGCAGCTTTCGGTGTACTCGCTACCTTGTATTTTATAAGCGTTCTTATTAAAACACGTAGTTAATAAAAAGTATTGCGTTTAAGTTGTGCCTCTAAAAATTAGAATATAATAAAAAAACTCACCATAACTGAAATAAAACATTTATTGTGTCTACTTTTATTAGCAAGTTAACCTACCTGTAGTTTTCTCTTCAGAAACTATATTATTTACATGTAAACTTATTAAAAAAACAAATTATTATTAAATGCAACAAGAGACTCTTACTCCTATTATGAAAAAAGAGAATTAACGCTAGTCTAAAAATAGCTTTAATCCTTTTTAAATACGTACTGTTTAATGTAAAATTGTTTATTTAATTTTTGTATTTATTTGTGTATATAATATGTTTATTTTTTGGCACAACTTAAACCTCGCCGCTGGCGGCCGATCGCTCCTCACTGCTTGAGCATGTTTGTACGATTCGTTCCTTAAGTGGCATGACTCTCTCCAAACTTACTCACATTGTATGATCTGGGTATAAGCGGTAATGCAAATTTAATCACCGAAATATTATCCTCCCCCACTATTCACACCGTCGCTAATGTCGCGACCCGAATTTCCTCGGCGTCCCTCTTCGCACTACTCGCGCTGTTTCCATGTCAATAGCTTTCGGATAGCGTTAACATAGTGGCTGTGCTTCTATGTCACTAGTAGACTGCAATGGCGAAGTCGTGCGCAGAAAGACGTCGAGGCACTAGGGACGCGCGCACAAGCGCAGTCCAGCCTTCGCACGATGAGTAGCGTGTTTGTGTGGTTTTGTGTCGAGGTGGGCGGCTTGAGCGGCACGGGTGCGGCCGCGAGTCACCTCGCCGCGCTGGACCCGATCTCTCTTGCTCTGCTCGCCCCGCAGGTAACTCTCGCCGCCGCCGAATTCATCGCACTACCGGTCTCCTTGAACCTCTTCCTTTTATTCATAGTCTTCGTTTAAATTTAGCACTGCATCCTGATGTAAACATACGACGATTCGGAACTTCGACTACTCCTCATCCTCATCCGTCCTCGTCCTTAAACTACTTCTGGTGGTCGGTGGGTTGCTTAATTGGACACCGTATGCTTATTTTAATATTTCAATTCGTTCTTTATTAATGCATGTGTAAGCTTGTTTGGCTAACAATATAACTCACTGTATAATTTTAAACAAATTGATGATCTTATATGTATAAATAGATATATTCAGTACAGCTTATGTACAAGTATTTTGTAATTTTAATATGCTTGCTATCAGATTATGCTTATGGAAATATGGATTTTAGTATCTACAAATTGGTGTGAAAAGCTTGATTACAAATTACTGTAAAATTTATTGAACAGATATTTTCTGAATATTAACTATTAATTGTTGTTTGTGTAACAGGCAACGTCACCATACTTGTCATCAGTGCCTGGAGTGGGTTCGACGTACGCGCAATACTACACGCCACAGTTGGTGCCTGCAATGCTAGGTCACGATCCTGCCGCTGCCGCTGCCTCACCACTTGGTGTCATGCAGCAGCCAGTGTTGCAGCAGAAGCTCCCTCGCACCGATCGTCTCGAGGTGAGACCTCTTCTATGTATCCGAGCGACACTCCATCATACCTGAGTAGTGCTTCCCGATGTTGCCACTTACACCGGGGACCGACTATACTTGTATTCTATGCCTTATATCTCTTTGTGCAACACGAAGGCATATAGTGTCGGTCCCCGCTGTCAGATAACGGCCAATGAGCCTATGCCCGTCCCCATGTGTCTGTGGTGCGCGGGCGCACTAGCCCAGTGCGTCAGCGCGAGCGCTTCGCGAGCAGCACTCGCTTACACCTTTGGTGAAGGATCTGCACTGTTGGCGCAATTATTTATTCGCCGAAATATTTAAATCTACTAGAAAACCACGACATTTGGTAGCAAAATTATTGTAAATTTGCGCCTACAATGTAGTGGCGCCAAACGCTTAAAACAAATTGGTTAACCAAATTCGATCGAGATCGAAATCAAAATTTCGTGTGAAATTAAAATTGTATATACCGATTTATTGAATACTAATTTGATCATAAATAAAAAAATGCGACGGATGCGTATCTCGGTAAATTGAGAATGTCACTTCCAATTAAAATATCAAAGCGGCGTCGGGTCGAGAAAACCGCATATTAGTAAAAAAAAATCGTTGATAAAATTTTGCATAAGTCGTTTAGTTTACGCGGAAATACGTCTTAGAATGATCAGACGCAAACTTTTTGAACGCGAAATTTTAAATAGGCGCGTACAATCGAATTTCGGGAATATCGTGGGATCAGATCGGGCTAGACGAGCAGTGGGCTATAGGCTGTAGAGCGCGGGTCGCGAGCGGCGGACATGGCTGGTGTGTGGTGGTGCAGGTGTGCCGGGAGTTCCAGCGCGGCGCGTGCAAGCGCGCGGAGTCCGAGTGTCGCTTCGCGCACCCGCCGCCTCCCGTCGTGGCGCACGACGACGGCTGTGTCACGGTGTGCATGGACGCCGTCAAGGGCCGCTGCGTCCGCGACCCCTGCCGCTATTTCCACCCTCCCCTGCACCTGCAGGCGCACCTTAAGGCGCAGGCGCGCGGCGCGGTACGCCACCAGGCTGCACGCTCTCGCCTCGCTCGCTCGCGTTCGCTTCTCTTCTTCCGCTTGGTCTCGCTCGTCGCGACGCCGCTTTCGTTCGCAGGCTTTGTTCTGTTCAGTTCGCGCAGGCCGACTCGCGCCACGCTTCCGTCGCACTCACGCTTCACTTTTATTTTATTTTTATCTTTCGCATAATATCACCTTATGCAGAGCTTTAGGTGTATTCTGTGCATCTACTACATCGTTATTGTTTCTGTCCCGTCCTGCGACGCTTCGCTTCACGTAGACGGCCGCCGCAGCCCAGCAGCCGGCAGCGAGCGCGACTTCGGAGCCGGGCAAGAAACGACCGGCACCCACCGAGCTCGAGCCGCCACCGGTACTGCCGCAAGCTTTGCACGCTTCACCTCCACTCCCACTCCCGCCCGCACGATCCTTCCGCGCGCCTCTCCCTCCTATATGGACTCAAGCGACGCGCGGCCGAGGGCCACCCCCGCCCTTTGCCCCGCGTCGCCGGTGTGCCATCCACCCTGTCACACCCGAGGACTTCCATTCAACCGTTTGTTTCTCGTTTCAGATGGACATGAAGAGCGTCGGATCCTTCTATTACGATAACTTCGTAAGTATCTGAACGTTCCTATTTTAATACACTACGATGACTTATTAATACGTTCACAGACTTTCAATACCGCACCCGTAAATAACAAATAATCATGTCATCACTTGGTTTCGTGTCCGTGAACTCGTTAAAAATTCCTCGAAATGGATATAATTTTATTATTATCATCTTTTCTCAGGCCTTCCCTGGTGTAATGCCGTATAAACGACCCGCCGCAGACAAAGCGGGCGTCCCAGTTTATCAGCCGGCGACGACCTACCAGCAGCTAATGCAACTCCAGCAGCCGTTCGTGCCCGTGTCATGTGAGTACCCCGCACCCGCCACGTCCGCCCCGCCAACCGCGGCGTCGCCCGCCGCTCCCGCGAGCGCGCCGCCGCTGGCGCTGCCCGCGCCGCAAACGGCGCCGGCGCCGCAGCCACCCCCGCAGCCCGCGCAGCCCGCGCCACCACAACCTGCACCGTCCACCTCGCCGCCTGCTTCGCTCGCGGACGCCGCTACACCCGACCCGGCTGCTGTAGCCAAAGAAGTGGCTCAGAAAAATTATGCGGCAGCGATAGCGATTGCAGCGCAGCATACTGCAATGGCACAGGCGGCCGCCATGTACTCGCAACAGTTGAAGGCGCGCGCGTCCATGCCGGGATTAATGCGTGCGCCGCTTATGATGCGGCCCAGCTGGCCCGCGCCACCCATGCACATGCCCGCTTACTATCCGCAACAATACATGTACACGATGCCGCCTCCGACGCCACCGGCGGCTGCCGCGGCCGCTGCCGCAGCCGCTGCGGCAGTAAACCCCTATAAGAAGATGAAGACGACATAGAGTGGCGCGCGGGCGATACCGCGGTCGGTGGGGCGCGGGGCGCGGGGTCTCCGCGTAGAGACTCATACGTGTGCGACCGTGTGTCCCGCCCCGGCCTGTCGGGGCGGTTAGCGCTAGGCGTGTGGTCACATTTGTATTGTATTATTGTAAGGACGAAGCGAGCGGATTCGCCCTCGCAGATGTCTCGGTAGTTTTACGCTATATCTTATTATTGTGTATCTACTCACCGTTTTTATCCTATGCGTGTATATTTCTCATATCTACGATCCCGGTAATAATAACGCTTGAGATGCATGACTGTACGTTTTTTTATTACCTCTTGTCGATCGTCGTTATCGTGAGTACCTATCGTCGTACTGAGAGTTGAGCGCTTGGTCCGTCGATCCCGCTACGTACACGCTTGTTCTCGGAGGAGCTCCGCACGGGTGCGCTTTGGCCGATGTGTCGATCCCGTACCTAGTGGTTACCGGCTTGCAACAGCAGGCCCGCACCTAACACAGCCGCCTTCTAATTTTCGCATGGAATAGAACCTACCACCCCTATACGTTTGGCTCATCAGGTATTGTTCTCATTATTCTAGTGGCTCCTCGTGTGTGCTAAGTGTGCCGGCGTGTTCATCAGTAGTGCTGCGAAGACGACGAGCGTCGTCCCGCTTTTTTCTTTCGGTCGCACTTTTTCTATTTATTTGAACGCTTTCTGTTACATGCCTTCCGAATGACCGCTTCGGCTGTCGTCCCCATTACCAATCTTTTGTCGCTTTTTGTGTTGGGCCGGACAGGCTGCGCGCCGCCCAATGCGCCCTATGTGGTGTACACCGACGAGCGCGGACAGGTAACGAGTGCCGCGTGACTCCGCCGCACCTCGCCACTCAATAGCACCAGCTTCTCCCCCGTTGAGACCTCCATATTGACAAGCATGACGCTTATTAACGTACGACTTTTAGAACCGACGCTAGTAGGCACGGCCTCCTTCTCCCGCTGCCCTGTCACAGCGGGTTCACGACGCCATACCGCGCTCACGCTCTCACCTAGAACATGCTACTATCTGCATATCGCCTTTACCTACGCCAACTACTAGTACCGCTTTTTATTAATATAGGTATTTTTAAATAACAATTATCAAGAGTCACTGAATTTTAATTCTTTGTATCGGCTTCATACTCGATATCCTTATGGTTGCCCAAAAGTTTTCGATGCAATCGACTGTTTCTTCCGAACGGTATACAGTACGGTTCATGGATCCAAAACAGTTTGAGCTGCCTCTAAAATGTCACTTGAGTAAGCCAATACAAACAATTCAAATATACTTAGATATAATTTAAATAGACTACGTTTGGTCTGTTGGTTAAGTATTTCAACATAACTGAGAAACGAAGCTGTTAATTTGGCCTATTAACTAAAACATCAAAGGTAGCGGTGAATGATATATTAAAATTAAATACTTATCTACTGAGCAGTTTTTTTTTGTACAAGCTTGTTGATTTATCTAATTTGCATAGTAGTTCATCTAACTTATCAATAATGAGCTCAATCGAAGTATCAAAAGAAGTAGATCTTATCTCTTCACTGCGCTATTAGTCTTCGCTTGTTTTTATTTCTCTTGCTTCAAGCGGGCTTAGTAGACTAAGCGCTTATTAATATCGAACTGTAAACAAACACCACGATCACATCAGCGGGCTATTCACGGGACAAGGTGCGCTTAATTATTTAAGCTTTCCTAATCGGCCTTATTTATTACACGCACAAAATAATACAATGTTAATTAAAAACTGTATATCTTAAAGTTAACTAAACTGTACCTTACTCCGTTGGTGGAGCAGAAGTCGAACCACATAATATATACAGTATAATAACTACCCCGTGCTTTTACCAGAAATGCCACGAACATATTATGGAAAGTGATCAGAACACGCTGTGAATGAAAATCCCAGAAACCGATGGCATTGCTTCTCAAGAGTCTCATGTGTTATCAATGTCATCATCACATCAATCATTTTAGTCATTGTGCTGTAACTGTATCAGTTATATTGTAATGAACAGTTGATGCTACAACTTACTTGTTGATGATTTTTAGTTTTGTATAGTGAGACATTCTTGCTTTCAAATGTGGAAGAAGTCACTCGACCGTATTGCCTTGCTTACACCCGGTAAGATACAATCAGCTTTATATAATATCCTCAGTATAAGTGATTTCCTATTCAAAACCTTTACTGAAATCTGCCCTGTGTCATTTGCATGAAGTTGCAATAATATTCTAAATGCTGGCAATATAATTATATGCTACTAATGCCTGACTACTTATTATAGACTACGGCAGTTTCAGTAGAGGTGGTCTTAATTATGAAATAACGAAGCCATTTAGGTGCTGCCTGCTAATAAGTTGATTTACAAATTCACACTAAACGTCTTATTGCACCTAACGTTCATTATTTTTAACAATACCAAAAGAATTTGTTTTTCATGAAATCAATTTTTTAGCAGGAAGCATATTCACCTTTCGCCAATTTCAACTATCAACTGCTAACAAGGGGGTTGTTTTTTTTTTTTTTTTTTAAATATCTCGATTGAAACTAAATATGCCTAATAGTCGTATTTTTCTTGTAGTCGTTAGTTGAAATGACAATGGTGAAAAAAGAAAAATCGAAGTGAACTTTTTTGATACAGTAGTAGTAATCTGTCAAAACCTATAATAAACCTTATTGTATTATGTTTCGCTGTTCAATAGACCGTTTATTCACTTCGACTTTTCTTTGCAACGCTTAAAGTGCTTCGCCGTTGCGGCTTCAATTCCTCGCTTACGACTTGTCGAGGCCTCTCTGATGCTTATTTGAAGTGTTCACCGTAGATGTAATAATATACTTGGTTTTCTTTTGTTTGTCGTACAGTAACCGCACTCTCTAATGGTCATTATGTTGCAGTTTGTACTACCACTAACATGTCACGTCCAGAACTGTCATGTAAGCTAAAGGTATAAATTTGACTTTTTACATTTAACCAGCGCCAACCTACTGTTAAGCATGACCGTCCTCCGTTCTCGTACTACGAGAACGACGGCCTACTGTCTCAATCATCACAGCCGACTCAGACACACGTCGCAAACCCCCCACACAGCCTCTTAGCTTCATTATAGCAACAGTTGGTATTTATGGGTACACTTTGGACGCTACAGAACCTTCTAGAACGCCCCGCCCTGGTTACAGTTGTCTAGCATCATGCTTTAGCTTTTTTGTAAAATATAGTCACGCTTAAATAAGATTGGCTGCGCAATAATGATTATACTTCAAGCGTTCTGCATGCCATTTAGATTATATATTCATACCTACTATGTGCATAGTGCAACGTATTTTAACACTACTCTCTGACGGTTACGGAATTTCTCACGAGAATAACTCTAGCAGCATTAATTCTATGTAAAATGTTTATACAACAGCTAAATTAGACATACAATATAAAGGTGACACACATAACGTCAGCGCGCACGTAAATAAAAGAATGCTTGGAAGGTCCAATCATATTGTGCAACGAATCTTGTAAAGTTCTTGTAATATTAAAGCAGCAACAAGATTTGATTTTGAGCAGTTTCCGCCTTCCGTGTGTCCCGTTTTGTGTTAATTTATGTAGTGATTGAGCAAGAGAGTACACACGCATTTGCAAATTTCTGTTTCCTAAGCGAACATCGATACACCGAGATATTGTGAAAAAAAAATCGCAAAACTATAGAAATGTTGACCATAATGTAATTTACTCCCATAGGTACATTTAAATTAGTTTTTTTTTTTTTTTTTAAATTAGTTACGTCTTATATTATGCTCTTTGATATTACAAAAACTGTGTCAGCGTTATTTTTTCAGACGGCTGTGCAATGAGGATCAGTGTCAGATGTATGAATGTCCAAAAAGTGATGATCTAGATTAGCATTAACACTATTAACATAAACAATTCATGAACCATCGGAACTCGCGGACTCGTGTCCAGTACATTTATCATTTTACAATATTTTTTTTCCGACTGTTTGTGAAGTAGCTATTTATTACGAACATATCTCACAGTTACGCCACAATTAACAAGCCGCTAAGCATGGAATTTTATAGAATTGAAGTATAAATTGACTTTATACGATGACAATAAATTAAATTGTACTATCAGGGAGTGATATCACGATATTCATCAGATTTGAAATACATAAGTTATTGTATTTTTGTTTTTTAATTTACTATGAATGTTCATACTCTACTTGTAGACAGACAATCTTCGCTAGTACAATAAAAGTAATAATCATAATGTGATCTTATAAAATTCATTTAATTTCCATACAACTGTTTATCTTGTTATTGTGGTGTTAAACTGTGTGTATATGTGGATAAGTGATAACAAAAAACTAACGATTGCTTATCATGTTTACAGTTACTGGACACCCTCCCGGTGTGCCAAGATTTTAATCGACAAGGATGTACAAGACCTACCTGCAGATTTGTTCATATTCGTGAAGGTGAGATTTTATTTTATAATATATATCTAATTTAATGAAAAGTTAATTAATGTCAAAAAAGCATGTTCTAAATGCCTAATGGAACAATATTTTAAACTATATTGTTATATAATTTTCCCATCCATCCTTGTTACATTCGGCATGATCTCCTAAGTTTTAGTACCTAACTGTATCTATTTGACTATAGCACCATTTTATTAAAGAAAATTAATATGCCTATAATTGTTATAGTAGATTTGGTAGAAGTAGTGGTTATCCTTTGTTCATAGTTGCATTGTATCCAATGTTATTTTTTTCTATTTGTTGCAATAAAAGTTTAAAATGTTTAGGTAGATAATAAAAACGTAGTTTTAGTCTGTAATTTCGCAGAGTATATACTTAGTACTTAAATGATACATGACTTTTTATTTTCATAAAAACCAATCTCTCGTACTTAGTGATTTATTTTTATTGTAACTGACCAATCTTTTCTTTTTAACCCAAACCACTTTTAACATTTTTACCGTTGTGTCGTCGCGCTATCGTATATCGTACCGCTGAGCGTGCAGACGACGGCGCGGCACCAAGGTCACCGTGTGTTTATTATTCATTACGAAATACGTAAGTTGTTTTAATTACACATTTGCGTACGTTCCAGGGTGCGGGCTGCAGGTGGTGGGGTGCCGCGTGGTGGTGTGTCGCGACGCCGCCGCCGGCACGTGTCGCCGCGCCGCCTGCCGCTACTACCACATCCCAGTTCAATTGCCGCCAGCTCTTCGTCCTCCTTAACCTCTAGTCCGCAACCCGTCCGCCCCCGCACCCTCGTCCTCACCTCATGACCTTCACCCATGACCCCACACCCTCACCCACCACAGGTCCCGTCCCCCGCGTCGCCCGCGCCCAGCATTATCCATATCGATCGCGCCTCTGGCACACTCGGGAAAGGCAGGTTCGGTCGGATCGCACTGTCGCTCCCGCAGCGGAGGTGGTGATATCTTAGTGAATATCGGTTAGTGTAGTGGCGGGGGCGGGCCGCGGCCGCAGCGGCGCCCCGCCCCCGTCTTGAGAGTGCGTAGTCTTCGGAAAGGAGTGTGTACATAAGTAGCGGGATATGATTCTCAGGCACGGTCATGCGATTGTGATATGAATAGATTTCGAAACGCCGGAGCCGTATTGAGTAATTTTATCGAGATCGTCGAATCGTAGTTAGTGAGGTTTCAAATGTTTTATTAATATTGTATATTATTTTTTTTAAGATACGATATGAGTTCCTGTAAAGATCGGTGCGATCGCCATGTGGCACAGCACGAAAACTTTGTTGTATATAAGCGAGGTAATATTTATGGGTGGTGCGCAGTGGCGCCGCCGCGGCGGCCGCCGGCGCGCGCGCACTCGGCGCCGTAGCTTTCTACCGACGGCTATGGCCGGTGTCAAAAGTTGCATCACCCCACTCCTATTGTGAGCATTTTTGTGAGAATTATGTTACTTTTTTATGTACGTTATAAAATTACGTTTTATTAGATGACAAGTTTTACACTAGATTAGATTAAGCGAATCAGTAAAGAAACACCAATAGCGTAGCCGCTTCTCTCCTTCGGCACTGAAACTTTTGACGCCGGAGCACAATTGTGCACGTAACGTGGAGCGGTGCGGTGGAGCGCCGCCAGTCGGTACGTCGTTCTTCCCTCAACGAGCCATCCCATTCGCATCACGTCCCTCGGTACCGACGCGGCGCATCGCCTCGCGTCGCCTCGCCTCGCCTCGCCTCGCCTCGCGTCGCGTCGCGTCGCCCAGTTCACACTTAGTATAGAATATCACGACACTCGTAGAGTGATAGAAAACAAACATTCGAAATACAATGAACGTTATCGGACAATATTTAAACGAAGAAGGCATACTTCCAAGCTATTTACCTAAATTCTAGGATAGAACGTCGGCTTTTATTCCAGATAGATTTTGCTAGATAATCATTCTTTTACTGATCGAATCCCGTCTATCAAAGCACAAAATATAACCGACGATCGAGTCCAGTTAGCTCTCGGTGAGTACAGCATAAAGAAATAGCTACCTATATTGTTTTGAACATAAACAGTATTAACGTTTCGATCAAATTTATCTCGTCGTATGTATGTAGAGGTGATATGCGGATAGAGAGAGAGTACGGGAGCGAGCGCGCCGCAGCCGCCGGCCGCGTGCGGTCCGCTGCGGTCCGCCCGCCGCGGCGCGCTCGCCCCGAGGGCATGGAAGCCTAATGCCTAATATTATTCCTAGTCCATATCCTTTTTGTTGATCAGTCATGCGATTAATGTTAGAATAAATATTAATAATTTGATTTATTCCTCCCATTTAGTGGATATTTTGATAATGATATATTAATAATGAAATATTTAAGATACATAATACATATTTGATTCTAAATCCTGATAAAGTGACACTACTTTAGTAATTTAGTCGGGGGGATACTTGTGCCGTGATTATATTTTTAGGTATATATTATGAAATAATTCCTAGCGTCGGAATTAAAGAAGTGATTAATGTGTAAGCGTGTTATATTTATTGTCGTAACGTAAGTGGAATGCCATATCGATAAAAGGTGAATATCGGATGCGGAGTCAAACTCATTAGTAACTCGTTGCGTTTGTGTTTTATGTTGATTGTTATTATCAGTCCTGTGCTAGTGGCTAAGGTGAACAGTTCACTTTTATCAATACGGCACTATGACTATTATATAATAAGTTGTCATTTTATTTTTTTGTTGAAATTTATCGTTTCATGAATTATTTGTTGCCTATAATTTTTATAATCAAAATTTTATGATCTGACGCATTTATTGTAAGACAATCGATTACTTTTATAATTAATTAGTGTGATAATAATAATTATGGTATCAAATTGCCGTTATAAAAGATTGAACATCGAAAGTATCCTTCCTGTTTAGAAGGGACTCTTCTGGCCCGAAGTTTCTAGTGGATTTTATATTTTTCTTTTTGTTGTATAATGTTGCGTGTGTCTTACACATAATATATTTCATTTTTGTGATATTTTTAACTATAAAGTACTGTTATTATAAATGCAAATGGAGTAATGATGACCTAATTAAATATTCAAGAATTTATTTGTAAATCACAAAAAAAAATGTAAAACTGTAAATATATTAACAAAAAAAAAATGAACTGCAACACAATAATTGATTATTATATCTCTCATCAAATATACTGTAAGTTGTTTGAGTACCTAAATATTGGTATCTTATTATGTAGTAAGTACAGTCTACTTTAAACCGGTCCAGTGATCAAAGTATTTATAATATTGTGAACATTTTTTTATTCACGAACAATCACAGAAAGTACATGACATTGTAATATTATTTATGAAATTACTATGTGATGTGATCTTCGGATCAATTTTGAGTACAGCATAGATAATAAACAACTGAATATGTGATGCGTCTCTTTTATTTCTAGTTGTACTTAGTAGCAATCATCCCTAATAGTATCCCAAAGTAATTTATATGTATGCCATATGTGACTTTGTTCAGGAACAAAAGATAAACTATGATTATCCGACTACACAACAACAGCATGCAATATTACGCCAAAATTTGATGCATACCACATGGACGAGAACTGTACATATATGAGTGATACACTACTCGCGATTCTGAGACAGCATTTCTCTAAATATATGTCTATAATTAAAATTTCAATTTGATATCACAGAATAATCTTTATTTTACCATATCAATATAAACTAAATTTCTAATAGATTTAAGTCAAAACTATTATAAATTTGATTTATGATGGCCCATTAAACTGTAAAATCCCGAAATTATAAAATTAAAATATTAATTTTAATATTTTTTTTATACCACTGAGGTGGTAAACAAGCATATTGTCTACATGATGGTAAACGTTTACCATAGCCTATGAACACCTGCAATACCAGAAACATTATGCTCTCGTTGGCGATCCTGAAGAAACCTCTGTATGGTGCCTCTAAACGAGCCTCACTGATTACTTAGTGTATAATGACTTTGCGGGAACACTTAAATACAATAAACCAAACAATTCCTCATGTCCACTTTTATTACTAAATGCGAATATTGATAGAGGCATATAAGAAGGACTCTGACCCTTATTTTTCTGCCTCCAAGCTCCTGTGCTTACATAGCCGTGTTTCGGTTTAAAATGTGAGATATGACAGTACTGTATACGTAATACTGGGTACGTATACCACGTTATATACTTAGTTTTTTTTTTGATAGATGAAACGACAATATATCCAATAGGGTATATTGTTAGCAATGGGGCTTTTTTTTATACATCTTTGAATGGCAAACAAGCTGACGGCCCACCTGATATAAAGTGGTAACCGTCGCCTATAGACATGAGCAGTACCATGGACATAACAGAGTATACTGTTTCGCCCATGATACCCCCCATGCGTTGCCATTCCTGAAGACTCAGGTGTTATTCCTTTGTACCCAGTAAACTCACGCCATATTCCATCCTTCAAACCGAAACACAGCCATGCAAACAACCGCATCACGGTTGAAACACTAATGGGACAGAGGTACCCAAGCAATCAAATTCACGCAAGGTAAAATTTTTAACCCAGTTTATTTCAGATTCTTTTAAGAATGTTATACAGTCTCATGTACTATACTATCACTAAATTTCTGATTGTGATAAATTTTTTTCCAATATTTGGTTCGCTATTGGGGAATGAGTATTAAACTTAAGCGTCTTAACTGACTTAAGCTGCGATTTGACACAGCATTAAATACATTTTGACACAGTTTGCTCCTACATCTTGCATAATTTTACTGGTAAGTAATATTCTATAGATCTGTCACAATTGTATAGAACCATAAACTAGAAGATTGGTTAATATGATCTTTCACAAAGCGAAAAACTGTAACTCTGAAACTCCACATAAATAAGATAATTATAAATCATACATAAGTAGGTCTATGAACTTTGAGGAAGCCACGTCTTGATACTCTCTACCGCAATAAACTAGTACTGTGTTAATGTCCGACAAGTAGATAGATGCTTACTTACCTACTTATTAGAGTATTCGATAAATTTTTATAGTCGCAAAAATCCAATTGCAAAATGAGTTTTCTGGTATTTATAACTGCAATATTTATACTGGGGGGAAAGGGATTGTTAGTAATGGAGTCAAATAGCCTCATTACTAGCAATATACCCTGTCAGGTCGACCTCCACATGGTTCCCCCTGGAAACCGTCGTGGCTAATTCTAGTTGAATTCATCAGGATGGGCTAATTGACCGGCTTTCATCCTCATTAGTCATCTATCACTGGTGCCCCGCCAGCGTATACCGATAGCACAAACGGGATCACCATACCATAATCGCCCATTAAAAAAAATATTTATACTGTCGTTATGTGCTCTATAGCACTGAACAATTAGGTATCCAAGTCAAATAGTACACCAAAGACCCATATATAAGTATTTACCTGAAAAACATTACTCTCATGTCTTTGGCAGTTGGATTAAAACAGGTTAAAATAATTGAACTATACTGAAATTAACAACTGGTTCCAACGTGGAGGTCGATCTGGTTGGGTATATTGCTAACAATGGGATTGGTAGTCCGCATTACTACCCCCCTCCCTCTCAAACCACCGGTTATACTGTATTGCCAATACTATTCGTATCTACATTATAGGCTAATTACCTGTCTAAACAAGTCACACAAAAAAATTGGTAAGTTAACCTTAGATTATATAGATAGAGCAGTGAGACTTAAAAACGAGTCAACTTTTTGTTAACTAATTTTTAAATTAGGGCCCCGTTTTTTTAATCAGTGTTCTATATAATTACGCACTAAATGTATCTTGACGAATTATTTAATAAAGAAAATAAGCGTTTATACATTAAAAAGACGCAAAAATTATAAGGTAAAATAAACATAGAAATTATAAAGAAACCACTCATAACTATTTATCACACAAAATTATACAAAAAAAGTTGACCCGTTTTTTTTTCGAAGCATTTCTATGGAGACACTATCTATTTATATGTGCACAAATACTTCTATAACTAAGATAAACGTTTTTTTTAAACAACTTAGAATGGCAAACAAGCTGACGGCCCACCTAATGGAAAGTGCTAACCGTCGCCTATAGACATGAGCAGTACCATGGACATAACAGAGTGTAGGCGACTTACATATATAATATAATTTTGTTTATTTATTTACAAATATTTATTTATATATTGTAAATGACTTGCACAATTAATATTATATTTAATTTATTTATTTACAAATATTTATTCACATATATTTATTTATATATCTTACACACGGCAAATCGTGCCGGCTGGTCTGAAAGAAGAAAAAATCGTATAGAGGTAATGAAAACGTGCAGTCGAGTAGCGAAAATTAATTACTTTCATTTTATTATATATGCCGCTCGATCTATTTTTAACTCGTGACGGTAAAGCCGCGCGGCCTGCGCGGGCGCATAGACCAGTCAAAAACTACCGCTTTGCTGGACAGTTGTTTTAATATTTGAATGTCGCTTTCGCTTATTTAATATATATATGCTCGCTAATTATTATCTTTGTTTGTGTCCTTGATCTTGTAATGTATATATCTGTGCTTGTATAATCTTTCTCCTTTTGTGTTTATGTGTTTATGTGAGTTGTGAACATTGTGTGAACGTACTTAAGCATTTTATAACAGTAAGTCAGATTATATTTAATTTATCTACTGGCATACCCACCGAATTATTTAATAAAGAAAATACCATTCATCGTCATATATTTACATATTTCCTAAAAGAGTATATTATTTCGCCCATGATACCCCCCATGCGTTGCCATTCCGGAGGATTCAGGATTCAGGTGTTATTCCTCTATACCCAGTAAATTCACGCCATATCCCACCCTTCAAACCGAAACACAGCCATGCAAACACAATTGCTTCACGGTTGAAACACGAATAGGACAGAGGTACCCAAGCAATCGACTTATGTACAAAGTCTCCCTTTGGTATTTTACCAGAGATTAACGTAAACTTCTACATTGCACACTTAGGTAACTTATTTTTTGGATTGATATTAATAATACTTAAATTTATTTGTTAACTGTCCTTGTGTATGATCTCATAATATTCGAGTAAAACAGGAGGCACCTTCCCCTTTTTCTGTCATGACCATTAATATCCAGTTCCTTTTATAGTAATTTATTTCAAACTTATCACAGAATACAGTGTAATATTTAGAATATCAAAGTAGACATACCCAAATGAATTGCTATTGAGTAATTTCAATAGAGGTTTGCCATAGTTCCCCATAGTATAGTTAGTGCCCTATGCCCATCAATAACGTATTGGCGAGTCAAGCAAAACTAAAGCATATAACACAAAATAGTATAGTATAGAAGCACGAGGATCCTGTTATTCATAAGAGTGATCACAGTAAATAAAAAAAAACTGAAATGTTTTTATTACATGTCATATAGTTTTGAAATTTGGTTAATGCGCATTCTCAAATAAGTTATATAGCTATGTAACATTACGGGGAGAAGAAATTTTACTATAACTAGGATATATTGGTTTATAGATAAATTATAGCACTACGCGGGAGATCCCCCGTAGTGCTATAATACTCCATTCGACATATCAAGTTAGTAAGTATTATAGGGATCCAATATTTATCAAGGACTAAAATACAAAACCAATAAAAGTGAAAAAGTACTTATCTCACTTAACTCATTGGAATTAGTTCACCAGAAAAGGCCGTTAGAAGGTCAATCTAAAACTTGCAAACAATTCCCTTTATAAAACTGGCCAAAAACGGAGATGATCCCATTAATTAAATTTGAAAGTAAAAAAAAAACCAAATAATGTCACAACCGTAATCTCCAGTAGGTACATATGTAAATACGTTACACTATATTTATGGTAAACATTGAGGCATCCATGAGTATTATCTATTTCCGTTAAATTAAATTGAATGTAATATTCGACGTGCTCACATTTCGCCGAATATATTTGACTCCAGTGCATCAAGGCCAGTATTACACTCTTGTTATCTCAAGAATTGAAAATTTTAATTATTATAATTAAATTTATTTGACACTATATATAAAGTAATTAAATCTACCTACGTACTACTACGCCGTACAGTTCTGGTATAAAATGGGCCACCCTTTCCTTTCTCATGGGTGCCGTAAGAGATGACTAAGGTAATTTATTGGTCGAGTTTAGTTTCTTAAAACATCATCAAAGTCTAACTGCGGTCGCCAACCTGCCTGCCAAGCGTGACAACTACTGGCAGAAGCCCTCAATAGGAGGAGGCTTATGTAATTCCTTGTTCTTAGGGTCTATGGTTAGCAGTAGACAATTAACAACTAATTTAATTATAATAAAATTAAATCTATCAATATATATTTTTCTTAATACATTATATTTAGACCGTCTACGATGTATAGCGTTAGATAGAAGTTACCAGTAATAAAAATAAGACTTCATGGATGACAGAATTGAGTCAGTTTGATTTGACATCAGTGCAAGTCAAATGTTGTTTGATTGATTTGACAAAATAACACCTTATGAATACCTATTTATTGTAATTTTTGATGCATTTTTTGTTCAATTCTCTATTGCATTTTTGGACGTAACGTATTTAATAGTATTTTAATTTCTAGTTTGAAAACTTTACAAGTTTTACTTTAGTGACGCTTTATTTCTTTTTGGATTTAGTTGAACACAGTACGGAGGTACGATGTGGATTCGAAATTAATAATCTATTACGCTATCTCCACAACACGACCAGTTTATCCATTAAAAAAACTGGTCAGTATGCAACGATATTATCACGGTCACTAGGCTAATTTGTCTAGTTGTAGTGCTACTTTATGATTGATATTGAAACATTTGCAATCAATCTCACTTTCAGAAACACAGTTTACAATGTTTGCTAGTCTCAAAAGTAAGATCAAGGAAGAAACCGGTAGCGATATAAGCAAATTGACAAGCAGCTGGCGCAATGGTTCTTTTTTGGGCAGAATCACACTCAAAGATGATTCAGTAAGTAGATATTGTGTGTACTAGATAAAGAGTATAAACTTTAGCATTTGATTCACCAGCTTTAAACATCACCCACTCATGTATAATACTCCTCATGCATTAACATCTTTGAAGAGTAAGGAATTATCTACTGATAGTAGTGAATGTTTTCTTGTTTTTTATTGTTGTAACCTTGCATTTGTTAACAAAAAAATAAAGCAAGCAACCACTGTCACTTTATAAAGTATATATACTTGTTGTAGTATTATTCTTATTTGGCACCAGTGACAAGTAAACACAAGTATTATCATTACAGTTTTTACTCTCAAAAATTCTATAGTTTTCTTTCAACTTCTCAAAAGTTAACTGTAAGAGATTCGTCTATAGAATAAGTCTACCATTATGTTTTAAGCCCTGCTTCTATACTTGGGTGACCACCATGCAATTTTGTGGTGGGTGCAGTAAGGCACTTAAAGTAATGCTACTTTTGAAAGCCTACAAAATATTTTCATATCTATGGAATATAAAAATTATGGCCATGGAAATAAGAATACAATATGTCATCATTCCTTTTCATCTTCTAGATGGTGTAAAAGTCAAATATAGGAACTCTTCAAAATACACCAGTATAAGAGAAAGAGAACTTAAAATTTGTAAGGAGAGATTTATACCCAGTAATAATATGTTAACGGGTTACTATGAAAATGTAAATAGTTCCAACCAAAGTTGGTTCTTAAAAATCTTTATCAAATAAATAATTTTAAATTTAATTTATACCTCAGTAGAATCAAAATGGTTATAACAGTTGGTTATTAATGTATTTTTCTAATTAATTTACAGTCTACAGCGAGTCCTTCTAGCTCAGGTGGACCAGGAGATTCCACATCAGATGTATGTATAATTATTTTGTATTAATCTTTTATACACAAAGTAACCACAAATTATAGATGTTATACACTAAGTAATAGTGAATTACCAAACCAATAGTGAATTACAGTCATAGATATATGTGGTAGCTTATAGGATAGGCATAAAGAAGCAAATATCAAGAGTCATATATTATTTAATAAATTTAAAAAGCTTTTCATTATAAGCTTTTATGTTTTATATACTTTGTATGTTTATTCTTGAGTCACATTTAGGCCAATTTAAACAAACTTTAAATTATTTCAAGTGTGTGTTCTGTGTTGTCAGTAACTCTTTTTTAATTTCTTTTATCATTGGGTGCCCCATATATAAATGCTGATATTTGAGGTAATCATCTTTCATGCAGTTTTTTTTTTTAATCATTTTTATAATTGTTCCAGTCATTATCACCACAATTAGAGTCATACATATCTGATCGCACTGGTGGGCAATTGGACCAAGCAGCGTTAAATCAACAGTATTCTGCACAACTTGAGTTAAAATTGAAAGACAGAGATGCCTACTGGGAAAAGAAAATCGAAGAATTAAAGCTCTCCCAGGCTTCTGTACAAGGTAGATAGAAGACTTTTATACACACTTTTTTTTACCCATATAGCATATACTCATTTGGCAGCAGTTCATAAAATATCTATTAAATAATTACAGCTGAGGAGGCAGTAGCTGCACAAGCTGTGGCTAGAGCAGCCCAAGCAGAAGCTGCGAAGGCAATTAGTGACCGTGACGCCGCCGTGCGACAAGTGGACGAACTACGGGAGCGCCTCGCTGCCGTAGAGCACGCTCAAGACAGATTAGATGCACTTACGGTATTTTTATTTTAATAAATGATTTAGCTTTTTTCCGCGATCTTGACCACATGGGACTAGCATACTTTATTCTTCTCTATCTCAAATTATTATGTGTATATAATTTCATTGCGGTTTGTGACAGGAGGAGCTAGAGCAAAGTCGACGTACGTGGTCACAGCTGGCGGCGGCGCGAGGGGCGGCGGAGGAGCGCGCTCGAGATCTGGAAGACCAGATCACTGTACTGCGCGCCGCACTGCCACCGGACAATGAACAGCACCACATGCACCATGAGGGTATGTCTTTTCTACACTATTGTCACCATCCACCGTTATCTAGATCTATGAACACTGTTACATGATAATCTATGAAACTGATACCATCTACCAAGCTAATACAAGTGAATAGTCTATATTAATCATTAACTTTACAACATCACAGAAATGTTCTATGACGCCCATAATGAGCCATTCCTGAGAACTATGGTGTTTTGTTCCTTTATATCCTGTAATTTTATTGCCATATACCACTATTCAAACTGATAGCTGTACAAGCACTGTTGTTTGACTGCAGAAAGAATTGGACAGAGGTATTGAAGCAGGTTTTTTTTTGTCTAAACATTCTCTTTAGTATACGAGGTCTGTCCGGAAAGTTCGTATAAAAGTGTTCTGGAATGCGAGAAAGAGGAGTGGGGAGGCCAGGTAAGCGCAGGACCCCTTCCTTATGTCCCTAACAATGCTTCAGTTCTGGTCTGACCGCCGTGCGGTGCGAACTGGCTTGTCACGCCATCTGTGAAGTTACCTCTTAACGAAACCCCGTCGGCATGGAGCCCGCTTCCGTTGAAGAGCAGCGCGTCGTAATCAAGTTTCTCTCGAAACTCGGCAAGAATGGCCGTGAAATTTTTGCCGATCTCAGAACAGTTTATGGGGATGATGCTGTGAAGGAACCAACCGTCCACAAGTGGCTAAAAAGATTCAGAGAGGGCCGAGAAAGCGTTCAAGATGACCCACGTTCAGGACGTCCTTCCACTTCACATTCCGACGAAAACGTGGAAAGAATTCGAACTTGTGTTAATGGGGACCGTCGTTTAACGGTCAGACAGGTGGCTGAAGAGCTTAATTTGGGCAAAACCGTGGTCCACGAAATTCTAAGAAACGAACTTCAAATGAAAAAATTTGCGCCAAGATCGTTCCGTGAGTTTTTGAGTAAAAATTCCATTACGGTGACCGAATACCCCCCCTATTCGCCGGATTTGGCCCCGTGTGACTTCTTCTTGTTCCCAAAAACCAAATTGGTACTTCGGGGGCAGCATTTGGGGGACATAAATGAGATAAAAAAAGCTACGACGGGGCAGCTGAGAAACCTACAACCAGAGGACTTTCAAGGAGCCTTCTCACAGTGGAAACGGCGTTGGCACAAGTGCATTATGTCACAGGGGGAGTACTTTGAAGGGGATAAAATTGATTTACCTGAATAATTGTAAAATAAAATTTTTAAAAAACTTTTATACGTACTTTCCGGACAAACCTCGTATTATTGTAGGTTTATGTAAAGTGTTTTATTCATGGTACTGGCTAATTAGTTTAGTAAAAATATTTTAATATTGAATAATTGAATTTAAAAATGGTGCTAATTATAAAAAATGTGATAAATCTGTAGATAAACGTGCAGTCGAGGCGACAGGTTGCGCGGATTATGACCGCGTATGTCGTGAACGCGCTGTTCTGACGCGGCAACTGCAGGAGGCCAAGATGGCGCTCGCTGACGTCAAGACCTCTTGGAGCGGGCAGATCGCTTCACTTGAGACACAGGTAAACCTTCACTAAACATATGGAACTTGAGACGTAAAAAACATAATTTTTGCTTCTTTTATTAAACATGTTTTTATAAACACAAATAGTTGAAAAGGGACCAATTAAACAATCAAAGAACATGGACTGATATGTAAAAGGAATTGTCCTAACATGTAATCAAACTGTACTGTATAAGGGCTGGACCACAATGTGAAACATCTTAATAACCAATTAAGAAATTATTATATACATTTAAGTGTAAAATTTATGAATAATGGGTAAAGTATGTACACAAAACTGCATGGCAACCAATCAATATCTGCACAAATCCTAATCACTGGTGTATGTATTTAATAATTAATCAATAATTTTGTACATATGTATGTCATCAGAGAAATATTTTTTTCTAGTCATCGTCATTTATAGATTCCGACATGATATAATAATCACTCAACTGTCATAAAGTTCAAAAGAACTTGCCTACCCGTATTGTCATATGGAGTTGTAACATAGGTGGCGCGACTATCGCGACAAGCGGGTGAAGAAGGGGCTGAGAGGAGAAGAGTCGAGACTGAAAAGCGAGAGATGCAAGAGAAATTAATGAATTTGGCGACCGAGTTAGAGAAAACAAAACAAAACTTGGTCAATAGTGAAGCTAAGGTAAATAATCTGCATTCTTCAATTATGCTTTCAGTTTACATTCGAAACTGAATGAGGTAGGTTTTGTTCCTCGTTTTCATTCGTAGACATTGCAATAATAATCAATTTCTAAAAGAATTTGCCTCATTCCATTACAATCTGCTTTTCAAACTAAGAAGTTTTACATTGCAGAGAAATAGATGTACCAAAATGCAATCTATATTATAAAAATGGAAAAAAATGTTTTTATTTAATATTTTGCCATAAAAGCTACACCTACTCCATAAAGGACTAAGACACCTCTTATATATAAATTATAATGACATTAAATTTACGATAAAATAAAACATTGTCAACTAAGTGAGCTTAGTACAATTTTCATTAAAAATATACCTAGACAAAATAAACGTTAAAAACTATGTGATAAGTACTAAAACATATTAGTGTTAAACCATTTCAGCAATGAATAGTTGATTTGAATTAAGCTAATAATTATATTGCAATGTCTATTGAAAATATGCTAGCCTAATTTTAATCGATAAAAGCACTAATATTTCTACTTATACTAATCTATTATTTATGCATGTGCCAGAATCAACCTAAGCCAAATTTAAAATAATAAATGTATATACATGGCCTTTAAACTTACTCTGCATATTAATAAATGTATGTACAATTCTCTAAATTGATACGTTACATTTAGGTATATTTTAGGTATTGTTTATTGTCATTGAGCTACGACCAATAGAACGTACAACGTTATGGTAGTAAGCCTCCTCATATAATAAAAATCACGTAATTCAGTGATTAATTTGATATTTAGTTATATTTAAAAAGAGTAAAAGAAAATATTTAGAACTGTTTTTTTTGTGTTTTTTATGATTGGTGAGGATGAAGTTAGAACAGTTCGCCTCTCACGACGAATTAACCAGGACCGCGTGCAGAGTGACTTGACCGGGTATATACGCCACATTCGACGTATCTTTGGTTGCCTATTTATATACGAAAAGCGTCAATACATTAAATTGAATACAATTTGCTATTCTCTATTACATACGGAAAATTATTTACTAAAGTCATTACGTTGACTTAATGCTGCGGAACAGCTGCGACCGGCGACCTGCGAATCGTCGGCGATCGTCGTTGGTCGCCGATCTTCCGCCGACGGAAAGTCGGCAATGTCTTGCACTTTGTCTTATGTGACGCGCTACACTCAGCAGATGGCCCACGTTGACTGCTCTCGTTGGTAGCTACTAAAGATACGCTGAATGTGGCGCTAGCCTTAGTGTTTTATTTCACCGTCCGGCGGTACGTCAGGTGGTGCGACTGAACGGCGAGGTGCACTCGCTGGCGATGGAGGTGAAGGCGCTACGCAACGCCGCGAGCCAAGCAGGCGTGAGTGCCAGCCTCTACAGCATATAGCAATGGCGTTAGCATTACACAATCGTGCCCATTCTGATCTATCATTAAACACGCCTAAAGGTGGATTTAGATCAAGCGAGCGCATACTTGTTCTTCCTACATTTTCTGTTTGTCCATTTTTTTTTTTTGTGAGAACGTAAAAGATATTAAATTATTAAAAAATCTATTGGACAAATTTTAAATATTTTTTATTAATTCAAACACTTTTAGCTACTAAATTATTAGTCACTTATTTACGTTACGTTTTCTTATGCAAATGTACTACTTTAATCTCTTTTTAGAAATAGTTAGCGAGCATGCTCGCTAAGTGTTTCTATGGGCTCAGACGTATTCAATAAAATAATTAATTTCTAAACCACGCATCAACGTACTGAATAGTTGAATGGATGGTGTACTATCAGGGATTGAGATAATTACCAAATAATAGAAGAAAATCTTGTTCTGTATTAATGTTTCATACAAGATTGCAGCTCAATTCTTAATTCTATGTTTTGTTTTCTTTGTCTAAATCCACCTTGACAGAAAATAGATTTTATACCATCTTTGTTTGGTGCAATCGAATTGGCACATATCATGTATAATAAACACGTTGGTTGTGGTCACATACTGATAAATTTTTGAGTTTACTTTCATTTTGTGATACATAGAGATTGCTAGATATTGTAAATAAGAGAAATTGCCGGTATTAAAATAAAATTTAAAAAAATTTAAAAAAGAATTATTAACAAGTATAAATGAAAATACATAATTATAGTGTTGTTCAGCTTTCCTACCATTTTATGTAAAATTTTACTGTGTACAACTTTAGAAAGGAGATTCTCAATTCGGTTGCATATTTTTTTTTATATTTATTATCTCGTAACTCCGCCATTTTAAATCGAAATAACTGGTATTGTCACAATTATCATTAATAAGTAAAAAGGGATAATCGTTATATTCTGCCTTAAAAGAGCAATAAGAAGCCAAAACAATATTTTTTACGAATTTTGTTTGTCTGTATGTTTGTTCCGGCATTACGTAAAAACTATTGCTACAACTTAGATGCGGTTATCGTAGTTGTGTTTCAAAGTTCAAACTTAATATCTGGAACATATGTATTATCATAATGCGCCATATAGAGGAGGTGTGTTACATTGATTTTTTTACTTCTGAAACGGGCAAAAACTAGTAAACTATACAACTAAATAAACTGAGTAGTTTCTCTTATTATTTCTTGATACACAATAACAGTACCTAATTATTATATGTGAAACATGACCTCAACTCTCGTGAATACAAACATAGTACATTCCGTCCCCTCACGTATATAATGATGCAATACTGTTTTAATTTCTTTTATTTTTAAGTGACTTCAAAATGACTTATTAACAATCATCATATCAGCCGCCAATTGTCCACTGGTGAACATAAGGAGGGTTTTGCCAATAGTTGCCACGCTTGGAAAGTGCAACAAAGTAGTTACACTTTAGTGATATTTTAACAGAAGCTCTGCTGCCCAGCCCTCGGCTATTAAGTTCCTTTAGTAGCTTCTTATGACACCCACGGGGTAGGAAGGGATAATTTATAATACAGAACCGATTTTGATAATTTTTTTTTTGAAATTAATAACGTTTACTCTCGTATTGATTTCATATTATATTTGTCATGATTGAAGTAGCTATTTACTATGGAATAAATTCTTAAAAGTATTATTTTATCCTGGCAAGTAATTAAATCCAGACAAAATTAATTATATCAAATATTGTAATACATACAATAATATTATAAATGTGAAAGTGAGTTTGTTTGTTTGTTACTTTATAGCGCCTTAACGGCTTAACTCATCTCTATAAAATGTTAAATCATTATGAAATTTTGTATACACTTACTATATGGGATGGAAAAGGTCATAGGCTTCTGTTTATCCGGTTCAGTAAACATATCCCGGTCATGTATACAAAGTCGCGGGTAACAGCTAGTATCTAATAAAGGTGATGAAATATGTCATTATGTTAGATCATTAGGTCATATTAAATAAAACCTTACAAGAAAATTTCATATGAAACCATTAAATATAATTTCTAAAAAAAAAACTAAGTTATTTATGTATATGTTATTGCATCATTATATGTAAGGATTTTGCAATAATATACTTAATATTTACGTTATTGATAAATAAGTTTTATATTATTATTTTTTCAATATAGTTTTTATTATATTTTAAAACTTAGATAAAGGACACAGTGCTTTTGCATTCAATCACAGCCTAGCTTATTAGCTTTATACATGCAATTTATTGTTCTGTTGAAATTTTTCATTGACTTAAAGTTTGTAGTAAACTTAATTAAACTTACTGTATCTTTGTCATTAAAAGGAACTCTTAGAGTTTATTGGTTGTAATTGAGTTGTGGAGCAAGTGTTTTATTTATATGGTAATTTGCTAATCTAGTCGGAGGTGGCTGTTTCAAAATATGCATTTTGGGTGTATGTGTTTTTTAATCACAATTTATTTTTATACGTGCTTTATACACGTTAATAATGTTTAATAAAACAAGAACGTTTTCTTTATCGATGTATTGCAAACGTTGATAAGGGTATAGATAATGTAATAGTCACGTGACGACATGTTTATAATTTCGAACGACAAGAGTCGCGCCTCGTCGCTAATGACACAGGTGTTGTGTAGTTTATACATTGTATGAGTTAATATCATTTACTACTTACGAAATAAATGCAGAACCATTATACATTCCAAGTAAGTTTATTAATTTTTAAATTATATAGTATAAGAACATTTTATTGAGTATCTTAATTTTTATATTAGAAAGATTTATTTTTAGAATATTACCTTAAGTATTATTTGCAATGTTTTTGTGTTACTTATATAATTTATATTGTTTTCATTTTGTTGAATTTATTCTTGCAAAATAAATTATATTTTAGTAGTGTAATTTTTTTTAATTTTCCTTCTTAGTCCTTGTAATTATTTAGTTAGAATAGTATATTTTTTATTTACATTATGGTATGGACTTATTGAACGCAATGCCTTTTTAATCAATTTGTTTATTTTTTTTTTATAAATACATTGTGAACAAAGTGAGCCGGACTTTACATTAATATAATTTTTGCTTGATGTACTAACTTAAAAAATTAACTTTCTCTGGATTGGTGATGTTTTGTACAATGGTTACTAACCTAAACTAATACACCAATATCTGCATGCAACACATTGAATTTACTGGACCAACACTAATGAAACTTGGCAATAAATATGTAATATCATTATATGGGAATTGATGGTACTATTATATTTCTTTATTCTTAGTTCACATGAAAAAAAAAAACACTTTACTGAGTACTACATATATGAATTTCTAGTAACATTACTTGAACTTTTTCAATATGTTACTGCGAATTTTTAAATTTGTGATTTTATATGATTTTTTGTTAAAATAACAAACAATCTAATCTAATGAAATTAAATTCTGTAACAATTAGCAAAAAGCAGTAGTGATAAATATGACTCTAAATACCATTTAATTTCTAAATGGAATAATATACAATATGTTAACGACTTCAAATCAGCCCGCAGTACTGGCCAAAGTTATTACGGCTTTTTAATAAAACTACATTAAATTAACGCATTCTATTTTATCAAAATTGCAGTTGTATAGTGTAATGTGTGTATTAGGCATGGTATAAATATATGAGTATTCTTCACAAATCTTATTTTTTTAAAGTTAAAATTAAAACAAAACTAAAGTTTTCCTTTATTTTTTGTACTACGAATGGATACATAAATATAATGATACATTTTATAAATACAGTAAATACTAATTAAGAGTTTTCTCTTCAGTTCACAAAGTCATTAATTACAGGAGAAAACGATGGGTCTAGAAAGTCGTATAGAAGAGCTGGTAGAAGAGAATAAAGAACTATCGGTGGCATTAGAGAACGAACGGATGCTGGTAAGGATCCTGAAGGAGAAGGTGGACAAATCGAACCGGCTCTACGATGAACAGAAGGCTGAAGTGAACCACCTTAATTCCATATTGACGGACATGCAGCATGATTATGTCGATATGCAGAGGAAATATGAGAAGTAGGTTTTTTTTTTGATGGGTGAAAATGGAATAGTAACCTCGCCTTTGCTATCGGCATACACTGGCAGGGCACCAGTGAAAGATGACAGATGAGGATGAAAGCAGATCAATTAGCCTATTCTGACGAATACAATTAGAATTAACCACGATGGTTTCCAGGGGGAACCACGTGGAGGTCGACCTGACAGGGTATATTGCTAGCAATGGGATTCTCAGTCTCCATTACTAACGATCCCTTTCCCCCCTATGAGAAGTAGGTTTTGTTGTTCTACTAATATTACATAAACAAGCATTTACTCGCGACTTCGTCCGCGTGACTGGTATATGTTTATTGGGCAGGATAAAAAGTGACCTATGTCATTATCATCAGCATCCTATATAATACGGGTTAATAAGTGTATACTGGGGGCAAAAGGGATTGTTAATAGTGGGGATTAGTAGCCCCATTGCGAGCAATATACCCTGTCAGGTCGACCTCCTCATTGTTCCCCCTGGAAACCATCGCGATTGATTTATTTTTAGATTCATCATGGTGGGCTAACTGACCTGTTTCATCCTCACCTATCATCCCTCACTGGTGCCCCGCTAGCGTGTACCAATAGCACAAGCGGAGTTACTATTCCATTATCATCCATTAAAAAAATATGTGTATACTAAATTTCATAGTAATATCATCATAGTCGTAGAATACTGACGGATCTGATAAAGATTACATATAAAGATCCGTCAGTATTCTACGATTACAACGATATGGTTAATAAATATTTAATTAATATTTAAGGCGTTGAATGGTAATAGACAAACTCACTTTTTCTTTTTTAATATTAGTAAGGATGTAAAAGTTTGTAAAGATGTTTAGATGATTGATTTACTCAGTCACGCGTAACACAAACACACACTGGACGGATTTGAATGAAATCATACACACGAGTAGGTTATATCCTTTAACACAGTATACTTTATAAACGGACAAAGCCGCGAGACACAGCTATAATTTAAAACCCCATTACAATTCCGATGGAGCAATTCAATTAAAAGCGACAATTTAACTCTTATTTCTGTTACTAAATAATTGTGCTTTCATGGCTATATTTCGGTTTGAAAGATGGGATATAGCAGTGAAATTACAGGGTCATCATCATTTTCATATCAGCCGTTAATTGCCCACTGCTGAACATATGCCTTCCGTTATCCCATCATGATGAATTCATCAGGAATTAATCATGATAGTTTCCAGGAAGAACCGCGAGGAGGTCGACCTGGTTAGGTATATTGCTAGCAATGGGATTCTCAGTCTCCATTACTAACAATCCCTTTCCCCCTGGCAATTGCAGTTAGATTTTGGTGATGTTTTAAGAGAGACGCTGCTGCCCATCCCTCGACTATTTAGTTATAAAAGAAACCACAGGGTACTGAGGCATAATTATTTAGTTCTTAGAAATGGTAACACATGAAGGCGTCACAGTATATTCTGTGATGTTCATATTAAATGGCAACGGTTGCCACTTCTCATAAAAACAAATCGTTACAGTAAAGATATTGTTCTATTTATATTCTTAATATTGTTCAGTGTTCAAGAATTGTATTACTTCGATTAGAACAGTAAATTATTACTTTACGATATTAAGTCCAATATTTAAAGCTATAAAACATAACTATCTTGATATATCATATCTTTATAAAAAAAAAAACTCTATAATCCCAGATTAAATAACTTAATGATTTACTATGGTGATCTAAAGTACCTATTATAATAGCAAGCCATTAAATATGGATTACTAAAATAATAATAATTTACATTATTGCATATATTACATTTCCCTATGTATTGAAAAATTAACAAAATCTTTGTCATACTGTTTATAATTATCCCTTCCATCCAAATATTTTTTTACCAGAGGGAGACTTTGTACAAAACTCGATTGCTTGGGTACCTGTCCCATTCGTGTTTCAACCGTGAAGCAGTTGTGTTTGCATGGCTGTGTTTCGGTTTGAAGGGTGGGATATGGCGTGAATTTACTGGGTACAGAGGAATAACACCTGAGTCCTCAGGAATGGCAACGCATGGGGGGTATCATGGGCGAAACTGTATACTCTGTTATGTCGATGGTACTGCTCATGTCAATAGGCGACGGTTACCACTTTCCATCAGGTATGCCGTCAGCTTGTTTGCCATCCTAAGTTATATAAAAAAAAAAAGATTGCATGTACGAGATTACTAAAGCAACAAAGTCGTCCACTGTTTACTCAGTGTAATCTTTTCTTGTAATTGCGTGTGTTGACGATAAAACTATTGTAATATTTTTGGAGGAAACAATAAAGTGTGTCTATCTATATTTTAGGGAAAAACGCGAGAAAGATGAAGCGTTACTTCGCAACGCTCACATGTCTCAATCAGTGGAGATGAGTCAGTGTAACGTAAGGTATCAAGAGTCAGAAATCGGAGAGTTAAAAGCTAAAATAGTAGAGTTAGAAGCGCTCTTAGCACAACACAAAGAGGTAAGTAGACGATTGGGATTATTAAACTTTGAGTTGTTCAGTTATTCTACTTGCTTTTTTCATCTCTCTTATATAAATACTAGCTGATTCGGCAAACGTTGTTTTACCATATACATTATTTCGAGAACTATACATGAATTTATCTCGTACTACAATTATTATATTCGATTGCCATCTTTCAACCTCATTGCGGCATATAAAAATCGCGATTAAAAAACAGGGGTTGATCGTAAAAGCGTGAAAATTTGAATTTGTATGTATCTTTCAATGCTAAATCATAATAAAATAAAAATATATTTGTCAAAAAAATTAAAAAAAATTTAGGAGTGGGTCACCCTTATCATTGAGGGGTATGAAAAATAGATGTTGGCCGATTCTCAAACCTACTTGATATGCACACAAAATTTCATAAAAATCGGTAAAGCCGTTTCGGAGGAGTTTGGTAACAAACACTGCGACACGAGAATTTTATATATTAGAAGATAAAAGGCCAATCTAACTAATGAACACCGCACAACTTGATCTAAATCTATCAATACAGTTGCTAGTTGTCCTATAATCGTCTTTTAAGCGGTTTCTATAGATCTTTTAGTATATATGTATAATAACTTGACTAATCCTATTAATTTATAAATGCGAAAGTGTGTAAGAATAAATGGATGAATGTTTTTATACTCTTTCACGTATAAACTACTCAACGGATTTGAGAGTAATTTGGTGTACAGATAGGTTGTATCCTAAGTTAGCTTTATGTACTGATTCACGCGTGCATAGCAGCGGGATACAGCTAGTATTCTATAATGTGACAGTTGTACAGCATTTATATTACTTGTGTAGTCACTTATAATTTTGACGTGATCACGTCTTAATCTATATTATTGTTTATTTTATATTTATACTATCCTACCCCATATTGTATAGAATACACACTGATACATTTACAGAATCAAGCGGAGTGTATGTTGATAAAACAAAACGAAGAGTCTCGCTTGGCTGAGTTAGAACAGTTGAAGAAGCGAATTGACGAGTTTACCGAAAGCGAAAATACATTTAAAAAGACTATACAAGACTTAGAAACTGAAATCTGTGATAAAAATAAGGTAAGGATTTTTGTAAAGCGTATAAATACATCTGAATAAAAAGAATGCCGATTTGAAATACAATGACAGACTCACAGACTCCTTGCAGTAATTACAATTTATCAATAATTGTCCAAGTCTCTTTTAAAATATTATATATTTTTTTTATGTATGTGTGTATAATACTACTAGCGATCATCCTCGATTTCACACAGGTAGATAGATAAAAAGATAAATTCATATTTTATATATGTAGTTTTTTTTATACTTTATTGTAATTTTCGTTGAAATATGTAGTTTCATGAATTTTTTTTTAATACAACTTAGATTGGCAAACAAGCTAACGGCCCACCTGATGGAAAGTGGTAACCGTCGCCTATAGACATGAGCAGTACCATGGACATAACAGAGTATACTGTTTCGCCCATGATACCCCCCATGCTTTGCCATTCCTGAGGACTCAATTGTTATACCTCTGTGCCCAGTAAATTCACGCCATATCCAACCCTTCAAACCGAAACACAGCCATGCAAACACAACTGCTTCACGGTTGAAACACAAATGGGACAGAGGTACCCAAGCAATCGACTTTTGTACAAAGTCTCCCTCTGGTGTGTAGTGTGTAGCCCGTGTTATTCGCTGATAATGTACTGTAACGTAGAATACTTATACTGTTCTATAGGCGAAAAAGGTTTTTAAAATCGACTGAGTAATTTTTGAGTTTATCCTTTTCAAACAAATAATTAAATTTTTCTCTTTATAATATTAGTATAAGATTAATCAGACGAAGATTAAAAAAAAACGAATAGGAATGTTACTACTATATTTATATTTGTTTTTTTTTTTTAGAAAATAAAAACCCTAGACAACCGAATATCGGATATGAAGAAAACATTACAACGTGAATTGCAAAGCAGTAAATCAGATCTCACGTCGGCTGAGGAACAGGATATTAGTAGAAAGTGAGTATAATTTATACTCGTTATTACAACAAAAAACATATTATATTATGTAAAGAAAAATGAAACAATATTTAATTATATCCAATTATTATCTTGAAAGTGTTTACAACAAGCTCTTGTTGTCCAGTATAGCGAATATGTAATATATTTTTAATACGTGAAATAATTTTATAACAAAATAATCGAATTAGGATTTTTTTTCTCTACCTTAGTTTAGGTTATAAAAATCACTCCTTAAATCTAAACAAATATCACATTCAAGGCGGGAGTCGTAGTACTACGATTTATCTCTACTGTAGCTTAAAGGCGGGAGTCGTAGTAATACGATTTATCTCGGCTGTAGCTTAAAGGCGGGAGTCATAATAATACAATTTATCTCTACTGTAGCTTAAAGGCGGGAGTCGTAGTAATACGATTTATCTCGGCTGTAGCTTAAAGGCGGGAGTCATAATAATACAATTTATCTCGACTGTAGCTTAAAGGCGGGAGTCATAGTAATACGATTTATCTGGACTGTAGCTTAAAGGCGAGAATCGTAGTAATACGATTTATCTCGACTGTAGCTTAAAGGCGGGAGTCATAGAAATATGATTTATCTCGACTGTAGCTTAAAGGCGGGAGTCATAGAAATATGATTTATCTCGACTGTAGCTTAAAAGCGGGAGTCATAGAAATATGATTTATCTCGACTGTAGCTTAAAGGCGAGAATTGTAGTAATACGATTTATCTCGACTGTAGCTTAAAGGCGGGAGTCATAGAAATATGATTTATCTCGACTGTAGCTTAAAGGCGGGAGTCATAGAAATATGATTTATCTCGACTGTAGCTTAAAGGCGGAAGTCGTAGTAATACGATTTACCTTGACTGTAGCTTAACCAGTTAACTGTGATTGACGAGTACACTCATCATGAAGAAGTGGCAAAATCGTCGCGTTACCTAGCATACTTTCGTCAGGATACCCACCTTTAATAGGGGGGAAAAGGATTGTTAGCAATGGAGTTTGACAGCCCCATTGCTAGCAATATACCTTATCAGGTCGACCTCCACGTGGTTCCCCCTGGAAACCATCGTGAACAATTCTTATTGAATTCGTCACGATGAGCTAACCGACCTACTTCATTCACATCTATCATCCCTCACTGATGCCCCGCCGGTGTATACCAATAGCGCGGGTGGGGTTACCATTCCATTATCACCCATAAAAAAAATTGCTGTTTCTATTAGTTTGCATTATCGCATCGCGTTGTCTACCTGCGCAGGTACCTGAAGCACGTGGTGCTGCGGTTCCTGACGGCGCGCGAGCTGGAGGCGCGGCAGCTGACGCGCGCGCTGGCGGCGCTGCTGCGGCTGTCCGCGCACGAGGAGGCGTTGCTGCGCGCCACGCTGCAGCCGCGCTCCGGCCTCGCCGCCTGGTTCCCTTCCCTCTCCTCGCTCTCCACCATCCCCTCCCTGCCCTCGCTCAACACGTGATCGCCCGCTCACGAGCTTCTTCTCGCTTAAGGTAGTACATGCCGGAGTGTAGCGACGTCGAAATTATGTATTCATTTTCGAAAATTATAGAACAATTTTCAATACTACTGATTACGCAGAAAGTGCTCTGATAGCGAACTAACGCATTAGTCGTTAAAAAAGTTACATATAAATCTACCAGCAAAAACTTTACGCCTACTTAACATTTTGCTTCTGGGATTTTGAAATTATTTTTTGCCATTAAATTTTCAGTGATAATTATTATAGCCTATTGTGTACTTAGCATTTTAGTTCGCTGTCTTAGGACACTTTTTAAATAGTTACTCAGTAATAGTTGAAATGTTATTGAAAATTGTAATACAATTCCGATGTTGACACACTTCAGTATGAAAATGGTATGATGTGAACGCTCTTAAGAGAGTGTATATATATAAAATGTTAGCAACGTCTTTATTGATTGCCAAAATTCAAACCCATAAAACGAATTCCTAGTCTAAATAAGTTTACTGAATGATCTATAATCAGTACATCTTAAACAGCTGATGTTTATTTTATTATTAACGTATTGTTTAATAATTAACGTAATGAACAACGCCACTTTTTGAACGATTAATTTAGAAAAACATTAAAATATGGACGTTGCTTCGGTATGAGCGTATACACGTATATATGTACATACTTGATCACATCACAATACAACCGTGCCTCGAATGTGTTACACAATAACTTTTGAACTCATGATCCTTGCTATTCTACCTCTCAACAACACGAGAGCTTTCACATTTGAGCATTTTTGGTTAGACAGGAGATATTACTGTTTATTAGAAAATCTGACTTGATACACGTTCCAGCTCTGTGGCACACAGTTCCTCTTATCTCAATATTTAGTAAAGATGGGGTTAGACTAAAATAATAATAAAAAAAATAAAAACTGGACCGTAGATAGGTCGGCTGAATTTAGAATTTAGATTAAATGAACAACTGATTAAAAAATATGAAGTTAACTAACCGAAGTGTGCTATTAAAATGTTTATAACCAATTTTTGAGCGGTTGAATTAAGCAGGAGTTAAAATGTATGACTAGAACAAATTTTCGATCGTTTAGTCGAATTTCATTTTAAAGCTTCACTCGAATACAGACAGCTTTTTCTGTAAACAAGCAATTCGAAAGAGTAAACCAAAACTTCTAAACCACGTAAAATTAAAAATACAATCATTTTATGTGAAATTAATGGCACGAAATATAATTCAAGTATGTCAGTATTAAGTCGCATCATTATACGTAAACACTGGGACCGATTCTGTGGTGTCATTTCTCGAAACCTGTCTCTTAATCTAATATTTTAATTTGATTATTTAACTGAATTACTGTTTTATGGACCACCATAAACTAAAACTAAAATAAAATAAACTAAAAAAAAAACGAGAGGGAGACTTTGTACAAAAGTCGATTGCTTAGGTACCTCTGTCGCATTCGTGTTTCAACCGTAAAGCAGTTGTGTTTACATGGCTGTGTTTCGGTTTGAAGGGTGGGATATCGCGTGAATTTACTGGGTACAGAGGAATAACATCTGAGTCCTCAGGAATGGCAACGCATGGGGGGTATCATGGGCGAAACAGTTTACTCTGTTATGTCCATGGCACTGCTCATGTCTATAGGCGACGGTTATCACTTTCCATCAGGTGAGCCGTCAGCTTTATTGCCATTCTAAGTAGTATAAAAAAAAATTACAATAATGTTGTTTAAATCTATTAAAAAATTAGTTCATCTTGATCCTTACCATATATAGGAGGTAGGTAATATGTAGCAATACCTATATATTTTAATTACAATATAAATATACTGATCCAATAATGAATATGGTAAAAGTCTATTATCCAAAAAATAATATCGGATAACATATTTTTAACATATTCGAAAGTAAATATCCAACCGATATGGGCGTTATCGAAATAGGTGATAACCATTTTCCACCATAAATGTCCAGAAACACCCAATATATAGATATCGGATCGGTATCCATATTACCCAAGCCTATCCACAAAAGGTTTCGCTGCGATATCAAATTGAAATTTTAATTTTAAAGATAGGTTAGAGATAAAGAAATGTCGTCTCAGAATCGACTTCAATGTATTTGAAATACTTAGAATAAACAAGAACAACTCGAATTGTATTTTATATTTTTATATACGGTCCCAAATAAACTGTTGCCGCGTTGAATCTGAAAACTACCGGCGCTATTAATCTGTATAATGTATGTTACATTGTATTAGTTTAAAAAGTGAGTTTAGATTTTAGCGTGTAGATGACCTATGATAATTACAATCGTCCGTCTTAAAAAAAAAAGATTCATTATTATAAAACTGACTTCTAAAAATTCCATATTTAAATGATGGTATAATTGTAGTATTAATGCTAACATATATAAATATAAACAGTGCAATATATTCGTTGTAAATAACTTTATTTTAATTATAAATGTTTGGTCGTTTAGGTCTGTTAGTGAAAGGTTGTTGTGAGAGCCACAATATATTATTCTGTGATTCGATTATCAAAAATTTTATATATTTTCTCCCCTATTTTTATATTTATTGCCTATATCTAATGACAGACGATTTGGTATGTATGTAATTTATATTACAAGTGTATTAAAATTGACATGAGATGTTCAGTACTTCTTTTTATAATGCGGCTAATGCATGGTCTCGTATAATCAGTACTTCAAGGACAATATTATACTTGTATTACATGTATACTCCCTTTGACACTATAGAATTATTTATGTTTTATTATTTTGCCCTACTACACAAATGGCAAAAAAAAATCTATTGCCAAATACATACGTCACTGTACATATAAGAACGAGATGACAGATTACATCAAACATTGCTGCCTCGAGTTTCACAAAGCAAGTACCCAGGGCCGTAAAAACTATCAACAAAGAAGGTCTAGGAAGGTTAATATAATTACTTAATACTTGTTTAGTAACTGATTTAAAGTATATTGATTGTTTTTAATTGTGCTACAAATGCGACGACATGCATTCTTCTTTATAGTTAAGATGATAATCAACATTCTATTTGCTAAACTATAAAGCTGTTAGTGTTAGACATATTCACGTTGTATTTCGTAATATTGTAGTGTTAAGGTTTAATTAAAGATGCCTTAATAGTTGCTAGTCATTTTACGAAGTAATTGTATATTTATAGCATTTTTTCTGATTTGAAAGTCATTCCACGTATTCTGTTGTATTATAAATTTAATGATCTTGCAATGGATTTGATTAACGTTAATTGAATTATAATATTTCTTTATTTGAAGTATCTGAGGTAATGTGTGAACTACATAATTAACGTATCATCATCATAATTGCCCCCTACTGAACCCCCATAAGGGAGGTTTTGCGAGTAGTTGCCACGCTTGGCAGACTAGTTGGCAACTTACATATATAATTGCTTACATTATTATTGTGATTTTATATTCAATCGAAAATCAAACTATTACACACACAACTATTTTGTTAATGTCAAAAAAAAAATTTGTAAAAATCTACATTCCTTGCATTAGTTAGCAATAGTGATGTTTTAAAATAACTAATTGAGAAATTTAATCGACAAATAAATATCACTATATGCGATTTCCTGCACATATGGTAAATGGTTTTATGTAATATTGATACTATACAATTTTTATAATAGAATATTCAGACAACACTGCCCCCTTTTGATAATATATTTATGTTTATTATTGTATAGGTACTGATAAATATCTTGAAAATTATTTTAATAGTACGTGACTTGCGCAGTAACAATTTTACACACAGTGTCCACTGCGCGAGCTTGTCTATGGTTTTGTTCATGTCTGCATTAGTGCATTTTTTATCATCTAAAAAAAAGTGGTATAAAGAAATTTAATCACAATATTTGCAATAAATATTTCATAAATAATTTAAATAAATTAACTCTAAAAAAATGGTCAGATTTAGTAAAAACTAGAGAAAATCAGCAATGAAATATTACTAATTATGCCACTTTTCTAACGATAAAAACATCATCTGTACAGACGTGTATTTTTGTATAGCTTGTTGCTTGTTAAGGTGGCTTTATGTCTTATTAAAAACATTACATTTTGTGTCGTATCGTATTTAGTTTAGTAACAAGACAAAATAGAAAACCGATATTTTTAAAAGAATTGTCAGCACAAAATTCAAGTATCCTTTTGTCTATAACATTTTGAAGATAAACGTTTCTTTTTATCAACACTACAGATTACTCATAATATATCTCCTCTGTGAATACGATTTTAAGGCAGCGTTCACAAAGTTGACTTGTCTACGACATTGTTAATTTGAACAACATTTGTAATATTTGTAGATATTTACATATTTTAGAACTGAGATCTGACACTAATGTATATTGAATCTAGTCTTAGTCTATTCTATAAATAAATAATACATTGTTTTAGGTAAAAAGTTATGATGAAGATTTATAAAATAGAATTTATTTTTGTCGTAAAAGATATTTATTTCTGCTTGATAAACAGTATTATGTATGGTTTATGTTGATGATTATTTAAATGTTTACGTTATATCATGTTACATCGAATTATTTTTTTGTGTGTAATAAATGAATAAACTTAATTATATAAAAATATGTACTTTTACTGTTTATTTATTTCAATATATATTTAATAATTGTAAGTAGTACATATTATTCAATAAGACCTTTATTATAAATTGTCAGTGAAAATGTAGATTATAATAGCAAAATATGTATTTGAAAATTTAGAAAGCAAATTCGGTGCAAAATTTTCAAAGGTAATTTTATGTTTAACTTTTTTTATAACCATGGCTAACAAAGCACTTTTTAAATAATCACAAATATTGAAAATGGTCAATTGTTTTTGAGAATTGACAGTTCTGAGATCGTTACATTTCAGTATGAACAGAACCACCGACTAAAAGAAACGCGTCACATGCTTTCGTGTATAACTAAAGCGACCTAGACACTAAAAGTAATAACAGAATAGCAATTTAATTGCAAATTCTAAATTGATTTGATCAGGAATTTCTGTTCTCTGAATAAAATTGCCTGTTTATCGTACCGTGGATAATTTCATTTTCTCACGCAACAGCGTTTGCCGGTTCGCATGACAGCCGCCACACCAAGTTCAGAGGGTAATAAATAAAATAATGTTGCGATATATTTTAATGTCTTTATTTACAACTTACATCATTATAATTTATAATATTCAGGAGCAATTGTTAACGGCGTACTATGTACCTAGTCTACAGTGCAACGGGACTCGTTACAAGGCACAAATCTAAATGGAATCGCCTTTACCTTATTCGCGATATCAACGGACCGATACTAAGATCAAGAGTATCTTTCAACGTTGCTATTTGCTAGAGTTAAGGCGCCGGTCATAGGCTACGTGGCGCCATCGCTTTTATTTTATTACGTTAAATGTTTTAAAAATATTACGTTATAATTCTATTCTAAACAAATATAAACCTTCGCGCATTTCAATAAGCATGAATCCTCATTTTTGAGCAATTAGTGTAAAAAAATTATTATGAGCAATAACTATTTATAACCAGTAGATACTGTGAATTTCCAGCAGGTCTACTCTTGAATCTAATATTGATATCAATCCAATTGCCAATAACAATTTTATACTGCACTCATGAAACAGCAATCAGGAATTACGTTATAATTGGGATCGGTTTGCAATACTTTGCATTGGCAGGTTACACTAATATGCATCTATCAGGACAATATGGACCCATTATGTCACTAGCATTGAAACGTCTCAATTTCAATATCGATTTATTGGAATTTATTTCAAGAGTAACCCCACAGATATATGATAAATTAACATTATAACAAGCGCTTATTCGTGCCTGGAAAGGGTAACTATAACGTAAATTACTTTTGACACAATCATATAGAGGGCGCCACCTAGACTAAAAGGTTCCATGCAAATAAAGTGCCTAAAACTAATACCATTTCACAGAAAGTACTCACAATAGGAACTCAACAACAACAACAACTTAATAAAAGTGCATAGCGAAAGACAAAAACAAATCTTACACGACTAGATGGTGGAATGTTGCCTATCTACTATAATTTATCTATATAAAGTACTTCAGATATTTTGTTGTTTGTAGGTAGTTATATAAATAATTGATTTATTATTGCTTTGTTGTGTTCTAATTGCTATCCAAACCAGGGTCCAATCTAGCGAAGGGCAAACCGGCCAAATGCCTAGTACTCATTAAATAAGACGCAACGTTTTTTTTTTATATCAATGCCAGCAAATATTATTTTTACTTAGAATAGCAAAATTGCTAGATCGGGCACTGATCTTAACTAATATAACTAACTTTCCAATATGTTCTCTTTCGAGATGATCACAGTCCAGTAACTTTTTTAATTTATTTTTTACATTGAAGCTTTTTAGAGAAGTAAATTATTGAAATGCCATATCTAGAAGCTATTAGATATCTTTGGATTATCACCACTTAAGAATGCAGTTATCTTGTTCATCTATTGTCATTACATTGATGTCATACTTAAAGAAATTTCCCTACCCTGCAACCTTTATTATATACCCCGCACCATATGTTAAACGAATACCAATTAGGCACCGTTTCCTAATAAGATACAAAACTATTTTTAAAAACTCCAAACATCATGAGTACAGACAAATTTTAAGCAGTGCAGATATTGTAAATTTCTACTTTATATAATGTATTTATAATCATGCAAAATTTTCTATCACTCGTAAACGAGTTTTTATTCAAGATTTTAATAATTTTATAACAATATTCTGTGTATAAATATAAAATTATAATTTACAAATATCACAACACAATCGTTTCAAATTTTTATTAACGTGAAACTGTGCAATTACTTTGATGATAAAATTCCAATTATCTAGTATTTTCAGATACCTAACAAATTATATTTTACATACCGTTACATGGGGGTCTCAGACCATTCTTACGACTATATATAATATTGCTCACTATTACAGCGTCGTGTCTTCTAGTTCAATAGTCAATAAATGTAAAGAACTTAGCTTAACGACACAAGGACAATATTTCTCTCATTTTAATTGTATCTTTGGTATTTCAATTCAACTAACTGTACCTCCACCCTATTCATTGAGAATTTTTATTATTACTTAAAATAATATAAATGGATTAGGATAAATGCTTTTGTTGTCTGATTAGGTACTTACGGAGGTGAGATAGATACAAAAAATTTGAGACTATAATAGTTTTAATATTTTCTTTTGTATATGGATTTACGATACACCCTTATAGAAATTGTATAGCGTAATTGAATGGTGTACCGTGCACAAATGAAAATGGTGTGTCGATGCCAAACGGCAACGTTCATTTATATACCACAGAGGTGGTAAACGTGCATTTTATTTGAGTCGGTGCCGCTTATAGCTTCACTCTTCCGTTACAAATGTCGTTGAAGAGCTGTGAAGTGATCGGCACGAAGTCATCTCCCGACCGGAAGTAGAGCGGCTCCTTAATTACATCTGGGTCGAAGCCCTCCTTCTGGTAATGTAGCTTCTTGAGTTTAAACGTACCTGCAGTCAAAGTATTTTTGTGAATTTCACTCTATATTTGTCTACTTGCAATAAGTTAACAATTACATCACAATGGAGAGTTGGCAAAATTTGAGACGACAAAAATTCATAAAAATATTGTAGTTTCTAAAGGAATCTAATCTATTATTATTCAAACCAATTTACCAGAGGGAGACTTTGTACAAAAGTCAATGGGTACCTCTGTCCCATTCGTGTTTCTACCGTAAAGCAGTTTTTTGCATGGCTGTGTTTCGGTTTGAAGGGTGGGTTATGGCGTGAATTTACAGGGTACAGAGGAATAACACCTGAGTCCTCAGGAATGCATCGCATGAAGACTATCATGGGCGAAACAGTATACTCTGTTATGTCTATGCTACTGCTCATGTCTATAGGCGACGGTTACCACTTTACATCAGGTGAACCGTCAGCTTGTTTGCCATTCTAAGTTGTATAAAAAAAAAGCGAACTCAAGCAATCGACTTTTGTACAAAGTGTCCCTCTGGTCGGGTGCAGTGCGTCGAGTGTATGTAGTGCGACTGACTAGTGATCTCGATGTCGTTCATGAGCCGCAGGAACAGCGGGCGCGCGTACGAGGGCAGCGAGTCGTCCACGTCGCGCGCGAGCCGCCGCAGCTCCAGCGAGCGCGCCGGGTCCGCGATCGCCGCCATGCCCGCGCGGCCCTCCGTTTGCGGAATCTGTACAATTCATTGCATTTTTATTTTACTGTTATGTTCATGGTACTGCTCATGTCTATAGGCGACAGTTACCATTTTCCATCAGGTGGGCCGTCAGCTTGTTTGCCATTCTAAGTTGTATAAAAAAAAAAACTTACTACTTTTTACCCGCGACTTCGCGTGATTGGTATATAAATTACTGACCGGAATAAAAAGTAGCCTATATCCTTCTACATCGCATTTAGGTACATATATGCTAAATTTCATAGCGATTGTTTAAGCCTTTAAGGCACTATACTATATAGGTAACAAACAAGCAAACTCACTTTTACATTTATAGTATTAGTAAGGATTATGAAACTATGTACATAAAACACCTACTAAGCCGGGGCGAAGGAAAGTTTGTTATCGTAATTTACATAGTTACGTTTAAGTTTATAGTAACTGGGACTAGCGGCCTCATTGCTAGTTATTAAGCCTACCAAGTCGACCCCAACGCGATATTCTCTAGAAAACATTGTGATGAATTTCTTTTTTTTTTAACTTTTTTATCCTATAAGGATATGTCAGCCTCATTATACCCTAATCTTAAAAAATACCTCACATACTTAAAACATTGTAGTTAATTTCTTGATTAATCTGTCACGATAGGTCAACAAGGTACCTATACCATCCTCACCTATCATCCACCATTGGTACCCCACCAGCGTATACCGATAACGCAGGTGAAGCTACCATTCTATTATCGTCCATTGAAAAAATACTAAGCTTTCTATTTCTTCACGAATAACACAAAAATACCTCAAATAGAACAAAAGGCATCCACTATCCGTATCAAATAACAAGAGAGGAAGAGATTGTTAGTAATGCAGACTACCAGTTCCATTGCTAACAATATATCAGGTCCACTTCAACGTGGTCCCCCCTGGAAACCATTCTGCTAAATTCCTGATGAATTCATTACGACAACTGACCTTGTCTTTTCATTCTCACCTATCATCACTCACCGGTGCACCGCCAGCATATAACGTTAGCGCATGCGGGGCTACCATTCCATTGTCATTCATAAAAAAAAGATTTAAATATCCCACTATATGAATTTCAAAGTAAAAAAAAAACTGTTATAACTCATATATTAGTTTTATTTTAAGTTTGAAATACATTTAGTCATAGAATACCAACCTAAATCTCTTAATTTTCAAATTTAGGTGTATATTATTTTTTACAAACGATTATCAGTTACTTCGAACTTCGAAAGGTAAGCGAAGCCATACACTCAAATTCAAAGTAGATAAAACTACTAAGGTAGGTAAATACCTACCTTAGTAGTTTTATCTACTTTGAATTTGAAATAAATACGTCGATGATCATTACCGAACCGAATTATTTGAATTGGGATACGTGGGTAACATGGCAGAATATCGGTAGATACAAAATCCAGTACATAATATACGCCACAAATAAATAATTCAGATGCATTGTATATTACACGTATTTTAAAACAGGCGACTAGTGTTATCTAGTTTTATCATTGAACCGCCGGCCACTGGAACTATTGTAAACAAATCTCCCGGACGAGATTGTATGACATGTTTTGCATAAATAAGTGTTTATCTGTATAAAATGGACGTGAAGAATTGCAAAAAAAGGTAAAAGAATGTAGATTAGATACGTAGGTACCTAATAAATATTAATCTGAATAACAACAAATATATCGGAATCTTTAATGAGACCGTTAAATTAGGCTGCCGTATTTACTTAAAATAAATCAAAAAGCCGAAGAATATACGTATGCTAAATCTATTTAACCAAAATTATGTGTCAATGAATTATTATTTTTACCAACGATATAGCTAATAGAAATATGCATATTTTATAGTCGACAGTTTCCTAGGCCCTAGAAGAAATAATTAATCTGTTTTTGTATCGTGCAAAGAGAAAAAACAAGGCACCAGTCCTTATTGTCTCATTCTAAGATAAATACAATAATATATAATACATGAGCACGCGATAGCAATAAAGTATAAATTAGGAGTAGGTAATATACAGCAATATCTATGTATTTTAGTTATAATAACTGGTTCAACAACGAGTACGTTAACAGACTTTATCCGACCGATATGGGCGATATCAAAATAGGTAATAACCTTTTTTCAGCCATCAATGTCTAGAGGAAGTCAATATATAGATATCGGATCAGTATCCATGTTACCCATTCTTAGTATATAGCAATTTTGTTTACCACTTATAGACTATAACAACCGCTTGACACTAAACTAATCGAAATGCAATTACCACTTTTATTATACTTGTAAAAAAAGGTAACTTGCACTATATTATAAGTATGAAATAAAAAAAATAATACTCACAAAAATACAAAAATATAAGAATACAATAAAATGAAAAACTCACAGAAACACCGTAGACTACGCAGGCGCGTTGGCCGAGCGAGGGCGCTAGCGCGTCCTCCACTTCGGCGGTGGCGACGTTCTCGCCCTTCCACTTGTACGTGTCTCCGGTGCGGTCCCTGAAGAACAGGTAGCCGAGCTCGTCCGCCACCAGGATGTCGCCACTCACAAACGCCGCGTCACCCTTGCAGAACACGTCGCGCACCAGCTTCTTGTTGCTGTCGCTCTGCATACATTACATTTTATAATATACAAACAAGTACATTGTGTACAAGTGCATGCATTTGCAAACATGGACTACGTGGCGGGTGTGTTGCTTTGTTGATTTTAATCTAAGCCATTAGGATTTATTTATTTATAAGTCTTTGTAAGTCTAGTAAACAGTCATACGGTAAAGTCATTGATTAAGTTACACATTTTCACATAAGTATTACATTTTGTTTTATATATTTATCGATGCGTGTGTACCTTGTCAACATATCCGTAGTACTCCCTGGAGGCATTTCCTTGTGCGATCAACCCGATAAACATGCCCGGCTCATCTGAAAAAAAATTAAATGTAGGTATTAAGTATTTATTCAAAGGTAAATTTATAGGTATTTTTTATTATTTTTATATGACCCTATTTGTATACACTTAATATATTAACAGAATGTACCGAAGATGCCACAGATCTGAACAGAAGAGACTGGTATGATTTTGACCAATAGTCGTTTGACAGAAAATTCAAGTCTTTTCAATTGAGATACTTCTAATCTGCTCTTTTAGACAAAGAAACCTATTGATAGATACATTTTCACTGCCATACTTCTTTTTTTAAATATCGTTCATGGTAGGTATCCGAGACAAATTGGATTCCACAAAAAAAAACCGACTATTATTTTAACTTATATATTATAACATTATGAGGCAACAAATATTACCTTTAGCTGCGTCTCGTAATGAACGAGACCCTTAATCTGTTAGATCTGCCTTGATAAGGAACGTCCCTATTTTGATAGATAAATTTTTCTGTTTTGTCAGCTGAAAACTCTTTCAGCGTACAGAAGTGTGTAATAAAGTACTATTTTTACAACCTACTTAAAAAAAGGAGAAAGTTGTGTTTTTTTTGTTAGCTTTTAACTCCATTTTTTGGGGGCGGGTAGGAATTGTTAGTGATGGGGTCTAAGTTAGACTCCATCGTTAGTTAGTTAGGTGGGTGTATTATTAGATGAGTCAGTTAGACCGTCTAACTGACTCATTGCTAGCAATACACCCACCCTATCAAGTTGCCCTCCACGCGGTCCCCCTGGAAACTATCGTGGTTAATTCTAGTGGAATTCGTCACGGTGAACTAACTGACCTGCTTTCATCGTCACCTATCACTGTGGTGCCCCGCCAACGTATCCCAATAGCGCAGGATACGATGAAAATGGAATAGTAACCACGCGGTTACTATTCCATTTTCATCCATTAAAAAAACTCCATATTTTTTTATAAATGAATTCGAAAAAAATATTTTTTATCTGAAAGGATATACACGTACTTTCAAATTAAGCTTCTAGAAATTTTATCAAAATCGGTTCAGTATTTTAGTTTTTAAATCAAAATAACTGGTTTAGCCACGTTTAAAGTCATTATTTTAATGGAAATAAAATCTTAATTTGTTGTCAAAAAGAACACCCGCGTGTTCGTGTCAAAAAAATTTGATGATACTGACTTGGTTGACAGCGAATGCAGTAGCCATCGGGTCCTCGCACTAAAGAGCCCTGCTCGTCGGCGCGTACCAGCGCGATTGGGTGCAAACTGGTGGGCACCAGCTTTGGGAGGAAACCCACCGCACCCACTGTGTTGTCCACGTTGACTGTGGAAATTATAATAAAAAATGTAAGTCGACACGTTCATGAGTTCCTACGGGAAATCATTAATTCTTGATGAATTAGTCACAATGGGCCAATTGACCTGCTTTCAATTTCAACTGGTTGTCTGTCTAATAGTATTGTTTATTTTATTTTGTACATAAAAAATACATTGTTATTTTTTAATACATTAAATTGGTTTTAAACAAAGATGAAAACAGGCGAGCGTTATTTTTTTTTTATGCGACTTAGAATGGTAAACAAGCTGACGGCCACCTGATGGAAAGTGGTAACCGTCGCCTATAGACACGAGCAGTACCATAGACAAACAGTCTATGATAACCCCTATGCATAACTCTGTAAGAGTTCTCTTCCAGCAAACCTTGAGTGAAAAGAGCATTCATTACCAGTCGATTACCATATATTTTTTATTATTGTTACAAGTATAATCAAGCGGAGTAAAGTATCGTGACATTTTAAATACATCCGGAGTTGTTTATACTCGACCTTATTATTTATCTGCTTGCACAAACAGAGATGCAAAGTCTAAAATTTATCTCAGTTATTATTTATGTGTATATATAATATAATTATAATTAATACGATAGGTCGCTAAACGTGTTTAACTTTAAATAACAGTTGATAAGAGAATGGAGTAGAGACAAAGTAGCTAGCTTAATGTATATGAAAATTAGGCATAGATAACACTAACTACTCCATAAGGTATACCATGATAACGAGTTATAAGTCGCTAAACCACAAAAAAGATACTAAAATGTAAATACGGATTTAATAAATCATATGGTCATAATTAATTTCGAGTACAATAATATTTTTTATAGGCATACCAGGGGGTAAACGAGCATGCGGCTCACCTGATGGTAAGTGATTACCGTCGCTCATAGGCACCCGTAACACCAGAGGCATTGCAGGTGTGTTGCCGTTTGTTCATATAACTCGACGCAATTTTTTTTTTTCCTTTTTTAGATAGTCAAACAAATAACTTAGTAAGAGACAGATGCGAGATATTTTTAAATACTTAGATGACTCTGGTAGGTACTTACTGATATTTGCGTTGCCTTCAGTGGCGCCATAAATCTCGTTTATCTGGGGCACTTTGAACCTGAACACGGAAGATTTAACATTTAAATTGTGGGTATATATATATATAAATATATATAGATTGTTTTTGCTATTTAGAATGGCAAACAAGCAAACAGCCCACCTGTGATGGTAAACGATAATTGTAGATAATATAGTACTGATAATTGTTGACAAACAAATTGATGGCCCACCTGAAATGTTAAAATCAGTCGCCCTCAAATACCTGAATGAATAAAATATGGTACACAGATGGATCATATCGTGGACTACTACTACATAGAGGGGGCAGATATTGTTAGTAATACGGATTACAAGTCCCATTTCTAGCAATATACCCTGTCAGGTCAACCTCCACGTGGTACTCCCTGGAAACCATCGTGCTAAATTCCAAATGTATTTATCACGATGGGCTAACTGACCTGCCTTTTCATTTTCACCTATCATCCCTTACTGGTGTCCCGCCAGCGTATACCGTTAGCGCAGACGACGTTAATATATATATATATATATATATATATATATATATATATATATATATGCGACGATTAGTTTAACAACTTGTTAGCAAGGGAGGACTTATCTCTGAAAGAGATCTCTTCCAGCCAACCCAGTGTAGTTAGAGAGAAAATAATTTAATTTGGGTAATCCAGTGCAAGAAAGGTAACAGTGAAAATAATGTAAATACAACAAACACCATTATTATCCATAAAAAACTGCTACACAGAAAGATACTTTTTTTTAAAGATTTACCTGTCGACGATCTCTTGCCAAATGGCGGGACGCATGCCGTTGCCGACCATAATTCGAACCCGATGCTGGGAGTCGGTAGGCCGTGCAGGTTGCGCCAGTAGGTATCGACACATTTCTCCGATGTATTGAGCCACCTGACAAAGAAAAAAATCGATTTTTAATCGATTATAAAAACGTCATTTGTATTGATATTTCGGGACAGAGATGGGTGAAAGAGGACAAAACAATAGGAGTTTATATGGAATATACTGATAGATATAATCGCTATATCTCTTTATCGTATCTGATAAAATCACATTGTTTCTCGGCGCATAACAAAGTTAATAATGTGCAGATGTATACGTATATAAATGAGTATTTGTATGAATTAATGCAGCTACGCTCAGTTACGTTCTAAAGAAATTATTTGGTTTCAATAAATACGCATTAATTCAATAGGCCGCGAAAGCGTGACGTAGATAATGGCATAATTATCATGAGGCAGTGTTGCCAGTTTAATTACTTTAGCATATAGAGCAACTTTTTACATAAGCTAGCTATCAAAATTTGAATCATGTTGAATTAACCATTACTACATTTTCTTGGTGAACATAGATAGATAAAAATACCATTACCAATACCAGCAAGTACCATTTTTTTGTCCTATTTTTTAACTTTGCATGACTAATTCATCCATTTGTAGCCACTTTTGCATTTTTTTTTAATTTAGCCACACTTTTTGGGTACAGTTTAGTTAGTAAGCCCGTAACGGAGGTGGCAACAATGCCAGAAGGTCGGTTAACGTCAACAACCAGCTAATACACGCAAGACTAATCGATCGCTGACAAGCCGTTCTTCATACAATATGTTGAGTAATAATAACATACAAAAAAACACTCAACTTCAATTGTGACAAAATCAGTTAATAAGATTTAAGAATAATATTGAACTAATTTTCATTAGATTTTCAGATAGAAAATAATTTTCCAATTCAGTTTATAACTAATGGAGTTATGAGGTGACAAATAAAAAAAATACAACCGAATTGAGAACATCTTCTTTTTTGAAGTCGATTAAAAACAATAAAGATTTATGTTTATTTATGTACGTAATAGATAGCAAAAGGCCAGCAAGTGCAACTGTTTGTCGAAATTAATTTTATAAATTATAATGATAATGATTAATAATAACTATTTTATTGCGTATTAAAAATAATGCAATGAGAACATATCATCGAAATTTAAGTTTTCAATTCGCTTAGATTTTCGTTTTGCATTTATGTTATACAATATATACGCTAATTTTGAACCAATGTTATTGTAAATTTTAATCCTATGTTGTTATTTGGACACGATTGATGTCATGTATTTATGTGTATAATTAATACATTAAACAGAAGACCAGTAAGTGTAGTTGTTTGTTAAAGTTAGTTTCATAAATTGATAAATAATAATAATAACTATTGCGCACTAAAAATAATGCAATGAAAACATTTTAAATAACATTGCTTTCGAAATTCAAGTTTTCAATTCTGCAAATTTTGAACCAATCTTACCGTAAATCTTAGTATTTTATTGTTATTTTGTCACAGTAGTATTTTTTTTTTTTGCTAAAAAAATTTTTACCCTTTTCTTATGTAAGAGGGTCGTGGTTTACTAACCCGACCCGTTGAAATGAGACCAACAGTTCCATGTTGAAGATACTAAAAGTAAGGTTATCACTTTATCGTTTCGTTCTGTTACCGATATCTCTAATAACTAAATAGATATCTTGAGATTTTAAATCTTTATTCCGTTCTTAAGCAATATTTTTTTTACCACTGCCACTGTTTTATTTTTTAGATAGATTGATTTATTTGCTTTATTAATTTCAATTTAATTTTCTTATATACAAAAGAAGACAAACTCAAAATAAATCCTGGCTTGAGTCCTTTCTCGTATGGTGAGCGATGGAGCATCTCTTATTCAACAGTGTGATGGGCAATTAGTTATTTAAATGATCTTATTATTAATCGTCACGTCTAGTCATTTCACCTGTGACTCCACAGTCGACCGATTATATGCGAAAACAAATAAATATCCATGTTATCTGTGTTATGCCCATATCACTTATCACTACAAACGTCATATATACATAAAATGTTAATAAACATAAGTTTATTGCCCTCTTCGATTAAAAGTTCAATATTGGATACATAATGTACACTGGCATGTTTACAATGTACGATATTCATACTAATGGACTACTAGCTATGTAGATATTCTACAATAGGTGCTACAAGACAATTTATAATTGATAGAATACAATGGGGTAAAGCGCGTAAATGAGGTCACTTACTTAATTTTAACGTCAGATTTAAGTGTTTTAAAAAATTACAAACTGGACTTGAATTTTTTATTTAATTACTTGATCTCTATCTAATAAATAGCAAAAGAATAATAACTAAACACAAATCTTTAACGTCATAGTATATAACTTTATAACTAGATCAATAATTCGTTAATTTGGTACTTGTTTAGGGGGTTCTTCTATCTTTCTAATTTGAATTCGGACATAAATTCTCTGATCTTTACGCGGTATTATTATCATATTAATATTTGTATTAATTATAAAAAAATAATGTTATGGAATCTGTTATTTTAAAGAAAACTTATATGACTATAATAATTACAATAATAATAATAAATCATTACCGTGCATTCATACTTGATGCAGTCTGTCCAGTAATTGGAAGCGGAGAACTTTGCACGCAACACTGACGGTATGCCATCAATGAGAGCCGCACCAGTGCCTACCAGCCCACCCGCTGTGTGGTACAGAGGTAAAGCGTTGTACATTCGGTCCGAGGACTTGAGCCCCAACATGTGAACGGTGGCCACCACCACTAATAAGTACCTGAAATAAACGGTAGTTATATTAAAACAGATGATTTCCCATCTGTTTTTAAAAAAGGAAGATCTCGATTTGACTGTATTTTTTTAAGTATGTGTTAAATTTGAAGTTTTTTTGTAATAATATTATTTCTACTGATGCGGGTCTTTATAGCTTTAGGAACTAAGACACACTTGGCTCAGTACGGGTTGTAATTCGAATTTTCCTTCACTTGCACTAATGTAATACTGTGTCCTAGTCAAATCTAAGGCAGACATTGCTAGATAGATTATTTATCTATTTTGAGTTCTAAAAAATTACTACTTTTGTAAAATATATCAGATATATTGAATGTATACAATACGCACTTAGAATTTGGCAAGACAGCTGCTTTAGGCATCCCAGTTGTTCCAGATGTGTATATGTAAAGCAGCGTATCTTTGTAGTGCAATTTCTCAGTTACAATCGGATATTCCGGAGGGTGCTTCTCCATTTCAGCGCCAAGGTCTATAACACCGGGCTTGCATTGTCCGTATAATTGGAACATTTTCAGATCAGGAGAAAGTTGTGAGCGGATCTCTTCCACAGCTATGAACAAATAAAAAAGAGGATTACTTTTAATTATAAGATAAACATATATATATATATATATATATATATATATATATATATATGTTTATCTTATATTATATATAAGTAGTATACATATATATATATATATATATATATATATATATATATATATATATATATGTATTATATTTAGCTTCAGATAAAAATATATAAAAAAAACACTTGAAATTTTGGAAGCCGTGTACCATAAATAAAAAACATCACTGTTAAACACTGCCTTCCGTTTAAGTCTTTTTAATTCGATCAAATTAATCTAATTAATCCATGAAGCTTTCTTTTTATCAACCGACTTCAAAAAAAGGAGGTTCTTAATTCGATAGTACTTTTTTATTGCTTGTTACCTCATAAGTCAGTAAACTGATTTGGAAAATTCTTTTTTTATCTGAAAGGATATACTTACAGATTGACGCCAAAGAAATTGCATCAAAATCGATTTAGTAGTTTAGTTTTTAAATCAAAATAACTAATTTAATTCTTAAACAAAAATAAAGGTTTTGCCAAAATAGAGATCGGTTTTTTTTTTTGTGTGGAACACACTTTAGTGTTTGAAACGTGCAACAGCCAAATTTTATACGCATTCATTTGAAACTAATTTCAATACTTTAGAAATTATATTTCAGTAGTACCTCCAGCAAGATGTTCGGAAAAGATAATCGCCTTAGCTTTGGCGACTTGTATGCAATGCAGCAGCGGCTTGTGCCTCAAGTTGCTGTTGATCAGCGCTGAGACCGCGCCCACCTTCGCCATGCCGAGCCACGTCCACACATACTCGCCGCAGTTGGGCATAAACACGCAAACGACGTCACCCCGCTTCAGCCCCAAATGCTCCTGCATGACCCTCGAAACTTGGTTCGACTTTGCGGCCATCTGTAAAATTAAAAACGTTTAAACTTCGTAAATGTTAAAGCACGCTTAAATGCGCCCCAGTTCTGGAATTTCATGATTCTCTGTTAGAAATGTATTTACGAAGCGGCGCATTCATTCGAGCCACACGCAACCCGTTTCATTGATATATTGTAAATTGTTTCCCTGAGCTTGGATCCCGTTAATCAGTATATAAAGTATATTATGTGTTAAGTTCTATTCAAATTCGTTCAGCCGTTTAAGCGTATAAAAATAAGGGTGGGTAATATATGGCAATAAATATATATTTTAGTTACAATATCTATATACTGGTCCAATAACGATAATGTTAAGTCTGTTATCTAATCCAGAGGGAGACTTTGTACAAAAGTCGATTGCTTGGGTACCTCTGTCCCATTCGTGTTTCAACCGTAAAGCAGTTGATTGCATAGCTGTGTTTCAGTTTAAAGGGTGGGATATAGCGTGAATTCACTGGGTACGGAAGAATAACACCTGAGTCCTCAGAAATGACAACGCATGGGGGGTATCATGGGCGAAACAGTATACTCTGTTATGTCCATGGTACTGCTCATGTCTATAGGTGACGGTTACAACTTTCCATCAGGTGGGCCGTCAGCTTGTTTGCCAATCTAAGTTGTATAAAAAAATATATTATTTTTTGGATACCAGATTTTTAACATGTTCGAAAATAGATATCCGACCGATATGGACGATATCAAAATGAGCGATTACCTTTCAACCGCCACCAATATCTAGAAAATTTCATTATTTAGATATCGGAACAGTATCCATAATACTCATGCCTAGTAACAATAAAAAACCTCTTTACAAACTTTTAATATGATAAAATATAATAAGACGTTTGTATTATTAAACGTATCGTTTAAACGTGCAAATTAGATAACTGATGTAATCAGATTTGGTTTGATTTCAATGACGTCATTCGCATTCGCATCGTCTACGTCAGTAGCATACATTCACGCATTAAATTCAACTCGGCGTATGCGATGCCTGCGATACGGATAAGTGTGCATCCGGCTTTTATAATTTAAATATTTATATCGTTTGAACTTGATACACCCACTTTCAAGTTGAGTTTAGTTAAAACTATAAAACAGCTCTGACGTGGCCATTGCGTCAATGGTGGGTATATACAGGGCCGGATTATCTATTAAACAGTATAGGTATAGTCCCCATCGGATAGGGGCCCCGTGCCCCGATCAAATTTCTTTTCAAGAAAATTTCGTAGGTATCAAACCCTCAATGAAAATGTTATTGTCCCACGTGTTAGTTATATTTCACTATATTTTGTAGTTTCATGTTACTGTAATGTAGAATAATATTATAGCATGTGAGCGAGACGTGCATTGCCTAGAGGCCCTGACATGGTTAATCTGGCCCTGGATAAACAGAAATGTGGGTAGATCTAGGTGATCATTAATAGATCATTGGCCGGTGAATTTCATTTATAGTACTTATTTATGTTCTAATAATAAATTTTGGTATTAAAAAATCCAGTATCTGATATCGATCCTGTTGGTAATCTTCCTGTCAACATTTAACTTCAAATATTACAGCTGCTTAGATCAGTTGCCCACTGGCATAACACATATGTCTAGTGAGAAAATGTATCCTGAATTATCATGATTCAGGATACATTTTCTCACTTTTTCGTTTTGGGCATGTCAAAGGCAGTGTATTACTAACTATTCCTTAGACTGTGATGAAACTGTAGACTATTCACGTACCATTCAAAAACTACTCAATGGATTTATATAAAATTTGCAGTCTGTTGTTACTGTGACAAAAGAATTATTGTAATAAATAAATAAATGACACAGCCAAGTGTAATCATTTACATCTACTGTAATATAACTCGCTGTGTAATTTTATTCAAATCTTAATAAGCAACAAACATCCAAATATTTTATACAAACTTTCATATTTATTGAACGAATCGACGAAGATCGTGTAACATACATACAAAAAATTACGAATTAAGAATCTCATCCCTTTTGAAGTCGCTTAAAAATTAAAGTAAGTATACATTTTATAACTGTCATGCCAATTTGCAATAAGCTATTAAACAACGGATGCGTGATAAATGTATAATATTTAGATAAGTCATTGGCCAATAATAATTCGTTGTATGGCGATGTGACGACAGGAAAATCAACTCCGGTTTTGACCGCTAATGGTACTGAGCGTGAATACATAATTAATATCTACCTACTTAATGAAAAGCATTGTCATTTTGATCGCCATTATTTTCTTTTTAGAAGACACTGGTATGATGATTTGATCCGCAAAATTACCAATTTCTAACGTGATAAAATTGATTTTATATGTATATATGAAATTAGTAATGTGGCTATTCTAATTTTAAATTGAATAAAACACGATAAGCAACCAGATATTTTGTACCTAGAATACAATATTCGCATCTATAAATAATACACAATTTAAAATAAGTAGACATTTGAAATTAGAACGAGGAGTGTGTTTACATATTAACAACATATTATATTTACTATGAGTGTTTGTTTAAACGTCTATATCTGTTTAAATCTCTATAATTACCAGCCGAATTTGAAAAAGTATTTTTACATTTGATAGCGCATTTCTCAAAGAAGGTTATTATTTATAGGCTATTTAATATTACGATACGAACCACAGATAAAGCCGCAGGATTCAGCTGGTTCATTAATAAATATCTATCTGCACTAATATATCGTTTTACTATTCATATAACACGCACCACCACTTACACACACACATACACACCACAGCGACTATTGCCAAAACTAAGTGAATTGTATATGAGTACATGTAACAATTTATCCTTAGTTAAATAAACGACCAATTTTTTTTAATATTATGGAAAACCCCATATTTAAGATATTATTAGTAAGATTGTATACATAAAATTCTACTATATACTTTATTTATTTATTTATTTGACCAACTGTGCGAGCTTTACAGTCTCCCAATACGCTCCCCCAGGAAAGCATCAGTACAATGACAAATACTATTAATATATATAAATAACAATAAGAATGAATATTAAATAACAATAACATAAATAACATTTTATATTTTATGTAACTATATAAACACAGCAATGGTCATCTGATGAATCTCCAGCAAGTTAGAGGCAAATACGTCTACTTGTAGATACTGCGTCAAAACATCAATGAGTAGTTTTAACACAAGAGAGAAAAGAGATTGCTTGTTCAACTCTGTTCTCAACAGAACATCAAACAAGTGCCGTTTATGTGTTCACACATAAACACAGAGCAATCCTATTGATATCGATGCCAGTACAGTTTAGTTACATTTTTCCTCCCATATTAGCACATACATAATTAATTTTAGTTTTCGTCTCACTTTAATTGTATTATAGCCCACCATACCCAATAAAAACATAGTTGGATATAAGTATATAAGGATAAGACACCTTAAAACCATACTGTTTTTAGTACAGTCATGTCATGGATTATAAACGTCCTCTGTAAAGGTTGTAAGAATGGATAGATGTTTGTTACACTTTCACGCCAAAACTGCTGAAGGTATTCGAATAATTTTTGTTATGTTACGTCACAAAGATTGACAAGAACCAAATAAAATAAAATATTCCATAAAAAATATTTAAATGATAGTGAAACTTGTTTCTTGATGTTGATTTTATACTATTTAGATATACAAAATGAACCCGAAATTTGTATACAGTGACTTGACTACTTTAACCACAAGGTCAGGAAATCTCCTGGGCTACACCTAAACTGCTTGCGCTGTATTTGTAACTTAAATAAACATTAAAAAAAATAGTTATGATTATCAGCATTTAAAGAATTTTACATTAATTTTTTCCCATACAATCAATTGAAGGATGACTTAATAAAAACTTGTTTCTATTACCAACTTGTACCCACTTGCGGGTATTTATTATCATGACACATAACATTTGTTATCTGCTTATTCCAGTAATGATTTCGAATCTAGTTGATAATTTACTAAACTACTACTATCTTACTGATATTATAAATGTCGAAGTTTGTAAAGATGTTGGTATGTTTGTTACTCAATCGCGTTTAAATCGCTGAACGAATTTGAATGAAATTTTGATACACGGATAGATTATATCTTAACATATTGGTTACTTCATATATTGATTCACGTGAGCAAAACCGCAAAAACAGCCGGTTACAACCTATACAATTGTTTACAGCTGCAATTTATTCACACAAGTGCGAACAAACAGCAGGTCTGTGTACCAACCATAATACTATCAGTGGTTATAGTTAGTAGAAACATCATACTTCATTATTAATAACAATATTTACGAGTATTTCAATTTTATTATTGTGTTTAGTTACTGGTAATGAAGTTATTTGCCATGTTTTACTTAATGAAACAATGATAGCAAAATTTCAAGTTCTTTGAATTTATAAGGGCATATCATCAAATAAAGAAGAAAGAATATTATAAACTCGTATTTACTTATTTTTAAGCGAATTCTAAAAAAACGGTAGAATGACGATGCCAAGTCTGAACTGATTTTAACAATTCTTTTTGCGACTGATGGTATTCATTCCCATGTTGGTCCCTTTTTTATTATGTAAAACTCGTGTTTATACGGTAAGGTATCTACGAAATACGTCGTTGTAGAATATCTACAAAACATCTCGTAATTCATCAATCCGTTCACGATTGAAGTCGTATTTTGCAGAGCGATATAAACTAAAAACTGTATTAGAAACTGGATAAATAATTATAATACAGTATGAGAACAATAATCGTGGACAGTACCTCCCCGAAGGTCCAGGTGCGGTCTCCAACAACGATGAAACATGGCGCATCTGGATACTTGAGCGCGCGGCGCGTGAACAGCTGGGCCACGGTCGCGTCTTGCCGGCCCCATCGCTTCGAACGAACGATGCCGTTAGCGTAGCGCCACAGAAATCTGTGGAAAAAGCAAAACACCATTTCAGAGATACCTTATTACTTAAAGACCTCTATTCCATTCTACCGCCAAGAAGCCATGCTTATATGACTTTGGTTCGAAGATTAGGATTACAAAGTATTGAGACATAACATCTTAATATGAGGAAAAAGTTATTGTCAGATCTAATAGCTGCATTGTTAGTAATTGTACTCTATTAGATCGACTTTTACGAAGTTCTCCTTAGAAAACATCATGGTTAATTCTTGTTGAATTCTTTGCGATGGTCCAAGAGATACGCTTTCACCCTCAACTATCATCTCTCACTGGCGCTCTGCCAGCGTATACCAATAATGCAAGCGAGGTTACCATTCCAAATTCACCCAATAAAAAGAACAGTTTAATTAATCCTCGAAATAACGCACTCAAAGGGTACTACTATTATAACACACTTTGAGTGTCATAGTGTATTCTGTGTTGCTTTTTAAGTTATTAGCCTATAGTTTGCATTGTCATTCGAAGTCGATTAAAAATTTAATATAATTTTTTTTTATTACTAGACAAAATGAAAAGGTGAATCAGAACACAAATGCGGACTACTTTATACTACCTTTGGCAAGTTTTCTTAAACTCTGTGATGCCAGAATACAAAGTGAATATATAGTCATTGCATCCCGTTAAGGGAGTGTTTTATCAGTTAACCTTGAAGTCACTTCAAAGTGCTTCTGAATAATAACCCCTTCTTGAAATACAGTAGTGGTCATATTTACCTGCTTATTTTATATTCTATGTATCGATGGGCGATAAACGATTGATATTAAGCGTACGTACGTATGGGAGCATGTATAAAAGACTCGACAATTTTTCATCGTTTTTCGACATGTTCAGTTTCAAAATGGACTTGAAAGACGATTTCTTTTTTACTTTTTATATGCAACTCTATGCAACATACTAATTTCATACAATCATAAAGCTATAAATGGCCAATTCACAACATGTACGTAGCAAGTTTATTCCCATCAAGTTAAAGCAGACATAATGAATAATTCACGCGTGAACATCACCAGATGACTACAGAAATAGAGACTGTTGGAAACACATGACGCGATATTGGGTACAAATATTGATTGGTGGTTTACAATCTTCATTTACGATTCAGTACATACAATTTTGTATTTATAAATAAATATGTATTTATATTTTACTGCACCATTTATAAAAATAACAAATATAGTAAATTTTAATGAGAAGTGATACAAAAGGCGGCCTTATTGTTAAGCGATGTCTTCCAGATAATTTTTAGATAGAATACATTGAGAAAAAAGACAAAGGATAGGTGGTTAAGTATTGTAGTCCTATCACTATTATAAATTAAATTCTTTTTTTAAATACGTATTATAAAAAAAATTCAGGTCGGGGGAAAGAGAATGCTGGTAGTACCTAATGGAGTCTAACAGCCCCATTGCTAGCAATTTGCCTGGACCTCCATGTGGTTCCCCCACAACCATCGTAGCTAATTCTTGTTGAATCCGTCATGATGTACCAACGGACCTGCATTCAACCTCGCCTATCATCTCTCACTGGGGCCCTGCCAGTTTATACCGATAGCGCAGGTGGGGTTACCGTTTAATTCTAATCCATTAATTAAAGAATAAGTTCGAAGAGGAGATGCATTGTTAGTAATGAGAACGCTAATTCCCATGACTAGAAATATACCCTATCAGGTCAAGCGGTCTCCCTGAAACCATCGTGGTTAAATTATATCGTATTCGCCACAATAGGCTAACTGGCTTCATGTATAACGTTTCATCGTCCACTGGTGCCCCGTCATTGTATACAGTTAGCATAGGTAAGAGCACCGTTTCACCTTCATCGATTAAATAAAAGGTTTAAGATCAAAAACAAACTTATTTTTACATTTAAAATATCAGTAAGGATTACATATGTCATTCAGCACCTAAGCACCATAAATGAATCATTTTATGCTAAATACCGCATAACATTTTAATTTAACTTTGATATATTTAAAACAATAATGTTTTTAAAGATTGTTAACTAGGTATAAACAATGAGGCATGTCAATGCACGTAAGGATTTACATAATTACATAGGTACATACACGTAATATTTATACTGCAGTACGGTTGCTAGTGTGCAATAACCGAATGAGTTCATTACATTATCATTATCAAAGCATTATATAAATACTAGCTATTTTCCGCGGCTTTATCCACGTTAATCAGTATACAAAGTGCAGTATGTGTAGAATTAGATTATAATCTACCTGTAAGTGCTAAATTTCATCCAAATCTGTACAGCCGTTTCAGCGTGATTGAGTAACAAACATCCAAACATCTTTACAAACTTTCATATTTATGATATTAGTAAAATAAGTGAATGTAACATAACACTAAATCTATGTTAATAACTGTACAACATATAAGTACAGTGTGGGTAAAACAAAGGGTATTCATATAGGCAACGAATTCATTTTGCCCTTCTGGACATTTGCCCAGCAAACACATTTCCAGATAACCTACTAGGGCTGCGCGTAGAAAAATGTAGGACTGCACATTTATCTGAGTTTTAATAGATTCTTTATAATAATGCGACAAAAAAATATTATTAAAATACATAATATCAGCTATTGTTACATGGATAATAATTGTAGGTAGGTAACTTATGAATATAATATTGACGAGTGCATTGTACTTACGCGGCGTGTGTAGTTATGAACAAAGCGGTTTTCTTTTAAGAAATATGAGACGATGAACTGTTTAATATGTACTTATAAACGGTGATAAGTTACCTGCTGTAGTACGTGCTAATATAATATGATACTACGCTATTTAAATTCCTATTCCAATAAATATAGCATCACGTGAAACATCAAAAAATTTAAGAAGTTTTTGAGGCAGTTCAGGGTAATGGACTTTTATTAAATGGATGATAATGGAATGGTAATCCCGCTTGTACAATCGGCATACACTGGTAAGGTACCGGAGAGGGATCATAGGTTAAAAAGAAGCAACGCAAATGGGTCATCGTGACGAATTTATTAAGAATTAACCACGACGACAGGTATATAACAGACAACAAGGGAGACTACGTCAATCCATCGGTAAAAGTCGACTCTTCGTTGGTCTCCTCTTACGGGCTTGGAGTGCCTTCCGCACACACTCCTGCACGTGTTCGGTGAAGCTGTAAATACCACCTGCGGTTAACTGTATTAGCAGATCTAAAAAAAAAGGGAGACCACGTGGAGGTTCGCTGATGGGCTGGTTGTATTTATGGACGTATTCTATCTATATACCATATTTAATAAGAAGGAGGTTTTTAATACGCTTACGTGTACATTACACGTAAGCGTATTAAAAACCTCCTTCTCATATGTTTATTCATGTAGATCCATATTACAAGACAATTTATGACATGTCCTTGTCATTTTACCATTTCGTAATGTATTTTCAACTGCGAAGAGCTATTGAGAAACTCATTATTTTTTTTAAACAAAAAGATAGTATACAATGTAACTAAAATTTAAATATATATATGACATGATTATAAGCATAATAAAAACACACATTAAAATAAAATGCGATAAAACTAAAACTGGAGGAAATTTAGATGTCGATCAGATGTACGAGTAACTAAGACTTGCTTAGGTTAAGTTTCAAGTTGCAATGGTAAAATAGTGGCCTCGAAGCACAAGAAGTATTAAAGAACTTTTTCTTTTTCTAATCTGCTAATTGGCAATCTGTTCCTCTTAGACAAATAATCCAATATGCTATTAATCAGCCCTTAGTTTTTGTCTGTAAATGTTTCTACCAGTCCTTGGATGCTGTATTTTTAATCGAAAGAAACTAATGCTTCCCGATCCTTGTCATTAAATGGCCAACACATTCCTATGCCTATTCGAATAGGATTGATAATTTTTACTAAATATCTCGATTTCCTGTTTTACCGTTTTCAGTTTGATATCCATTTACATAAATTCATTACTTATGTATTGTGGTATATTAAGCATGTTTCTTATTGTCTTACTTTGGAACCTTTCCAGTATTTCTACATTGCTATTACTAGCTGAGCCCCAAAGCTGTATGCCATATTTCGAAAAGGAAAAGAAAATGTTTACGAATGAAATGTATTCGCTACGAAGCACCTGCGAGCCGCATTATAAATGGAAGCCATTTAGCGGCAATGCGGAGATCGCAAACTCGGCTATCGCTGCCAACAAACGGTGGCAGGAGGCAGTCACGCGACGCCGGCACTGTAATCCTTTAATTAAATGAAACATTGCTTACGAATGACCTTGAGTGTGTGACTTAAAAGGTGTCACTGAAACGCACAAAGGCATTTTTGCATCAACTTGCAATAATTAAAAAACCCACTTATATAGGACTAACAATGGAGTAAGAGGAGAAAGAGATTGTTAGTAATGGCATCTAAAAGTCCCATTATTAACCATTTGTCTGATTTTTTTTTTGTTTTTATAATTACTGGCCTATTGAGACCGATTAAAAACAAAACAATTACATTAGGAAAGTTGACCAATATTAGTAGACATGAGTAGGTAAATACGTTGTCTAATAAAAAATAATAATTTGTAATTTTAAAGGTGAATAATTAATGTAGGAACTGGATCCACGTAATTATACATAAACACATTTCGTTTAAGTATCTATCAGATAAAACACCGAATCAGTAACAAAATCATTATAATGTCATCATTATCATAATTATTGGGAGCAGAGCAATACAGAAAATGACAAACATATTTTTTTAAAAGGTTATGTACAAATAATATTAAACATATAGTAAATATTAAAATTATTTGGAAGTATTTTAGGTAATAACATGTTCTAGCAATCACAATAATTGCTCGGTCCCAACACATCCCATAAAGAGTATGGCAGAATTTTTAAATAGTCTGTCACCAGTATTATACTTTTATTTTACTAGAACCACTTGGTCCTCAAACAAGCACGTACCATATGTTATGACCAGACAATGGTGAATGG